TACCTTTGGATGATAAAGATATCTCTTTTCTAGCGCAATCACTAAAGAATAATTTGATTTCGCTTAACCCTTTCAACTGGGTGCATAATTTGATTATTACAGGTGTCATCATAGGAGAAATTCTTCTCCTTATCTTTCTGCTCCCAGTCATCTTTCACCTAGTTTTTTCTTCCTCATCTCTCCACTGAGAAGTACATGAACTGCATTTAAAAAATAAAAAAGGGATGAAATGTCACGCCATCTCCAGTGAAGCCCACGTGAGATCCTCCGTGGGTTGAGGCTGGAACTTCAAGGAAGGTTGCCTCTTGGAGTTGGCTATGCTAAAAAACATGCAGTGTGCTTGGCATGCTTTTACTTGCTATTATCTTTCTAACTGTCACTGTATCATGGGCTTTCAGGGGGCCGGGAAAGCACCTGGTGTCCTTGGCACCGCTGTCATCGCCTTTATTGAAAATCCTTTAATCATCCTAGTCCAGATGCACCACTATTAATAAAAGCTATTTTCGATGCAGCAAGAAGTAGTTAAACAGAATTAATGTTGGAAACTCCAGGGAATAACGGATTTCTAGAAGAGAGACATAGATAGAAGAAGGGCTTCTTGGTATTCATTACAATTCATGGATAAATTGGTAAGATCAAGACCACCTTGGTGTCTTTTGACAAAAATTCAATAAGAGAGCATTAAAGGGCAAATATAGACTGTATATGAAAATTGGAAGGATAGGAGAGAAGGATGGTTTCATAGGTCCCTAACATGGGATGGCCTTTTGGGGACCTATGGAGTTAAAAAATAACTTAGAAGCCCTATGGCCCACTACAAATAAGCAAGGAATGTTATCAAATAGTTAAAAATGTAATATCAGGCACAGCTGGTGTTGAAAGTGCTTGGTGGGTTAAGGTCATTCTGACCTGAAACCACAGAGCTGAGCAGAATCCTGAGTACGTGGGCAAGGCTGGCAGTGAAGGCCACAGCGGGGGTTTGCCGTCTGGTGCCAGGTCGATGGGATGGGGAGGTGTGTTTTGGCTGTGCATGATGGTCGGCAGGGTTGTTTTGCTTTTATCTCTGGAACTGTAAATCTTGGCATGGCTGTTCTGCAGTTTCTGTTGGGAAGATTTTGCAATCTTTGCTGTATATATCTCAAGCCTTGCAGCTACAAAAATTACACCACTTGTTGACTCCTTGTCCACCCTCTCGACGACCCTGTTCCCGTCGGACTGAACTGCCCCGGTCTGGGCTGGTCCGTTGCACTGACACCCACCAGTCTGGGCTGGTCCATCGCACTGACACCCACCAAAATTTAGAACTTAATGTCTTAAGTCTTTCTAGGCCCCTATATAATGGAATATTGCAGATGAGGTGACTTACAACCCACACATTCAGGTCTCATTTTTAGAGGCTATGAAGTACTAGGTGAAAGGTGCTGCTGGCAAATTTGGTTCCTGAGAGCCTTCTTCCTGGCTTGTAGAGGGAGCGGTCTTCTCACCAAATAATCACAGCTGAAGGGCAGATGTAAGGCATTAATCCCATTCATCGAAGGCTCCACCCTCATGACCCTATCACCTCCCAAAGATGCCACTTCCTGATGGCATCATACTGAGTGTAAGGGTTATAAGTATGAGCTGGGGGAGGGGGCACAAGATACATTTGGTATATAGCACTTGGTTATTACTTGCTTGGAAGACAGTGTCGATAATCCTGCTATCTAACCAGCTATGTCAACCATGCTACAGACTTGCCTTCACATGCTGTCATCAGTGGCACAGATGCCTAGGAGGAAGACAAGGACTGGTGTTAAAAGACAGACCCAAAGACTATCTTTTGGTACAAGGATCCCAGCAACATTTGAACATGATGAAAGGTTAAGCATGAGATGCTTGATTAGTGAGCCACCTACCAGATTAGGTGCTCAGTTTTCATCATTTAGATCTGTAAAAGGGGTGTGCAAACAGGAACTCCTGTGCTTGGCCATATATATAAAATCTCCTATCTTTTGTTCTTTTTTGTTTTTTGAGACAGGGTCTCCCTATAGCCCCAGGTGGCTTGGAATTTTTCTGGGAGTAAAGGCAAGTGCCACCACCATACCTGGCTAGATGTGCCTATCTTTGAACCAAAGAGAAAATGAGTACAAAGAAAATACTCTTCCCAAACTGTTGGAAAGTACAATGAAAAAAAGTGCAGTTAGAATTTGGAGAACTAGAGCTGCAATTGGCCTGGAAGCCACGTCCCCTGAAGGTGAGCTCTCATAGCTTTGGCGAACGCTATGAAAGTACCAAGGGAAATCATCAATGGATGATCCAGCACCAGCTTCAAGACCAAATAACCACATCAACGGCCAGCACAACATACGTCATTGATGCAGTAGTGGCACTTTTATCTTGGGGGCAATCAACAGCTACCTAATTTGACTAAAAGCCCACTCAAAGGGAGGAAACTCAAGTGTGATACTGTAACATAACCTAATACACATGGCCGGAGTGGTCATAGATCTTAGAGAAAACCCTAAAACTATCACATTGCTAGACTAATGTGATTTAAAAAAAAAATTATTTTCATTTTATGTGTATGAGTGTATTGCCTGCACATATGTGAATACACTGGAACTGGAGTCAAGGACGGTTCATAGCCGCCATGTGGGTGCTGGGAATCAAACCTACGTCCTCTCCAAGAGCAGTCAGTGCTTTTAACCGCTGAGCCATCTCTCCAGCCCAACTAATGTGATTTCTTACTATGTGCAAAATATGTATCCTTATATTAAATATCCCAGTCACCACTCATCAAAGAAGCTCATTTTGCAGCAGACAAATACCAAGTACTACAACTAGTCACACATGGACATTGTCTATTAATTGCCCAGGCCTAAGGAACACATCTGTAATGCAACCTCTACACCTGAGGCTCATGGAACATAGAACAGGAATAAAGAAGAGGACACTAAGGAATCAATTCTCAATAATGAAGCTAAGCTCCCTCATGTAGTGGAAGGCTAGGAACACAAAAGGTCACAAATGACCAAAGTGTAGAGATCAAGTGTCTGCTAAGTAATGGTCCTTGGACAGGACTCCTTTATTAAACTTCACCCAAGGCTCAGGGACCATCACGGAAGAGGGAGTGGAGAGACTGTAAGAGCCAGGGAGGATGGGCATGACCATATGGAAACAGAGTCCTACAAGCTCCTGGGAACCTACTCATATGATTATATGGCAAAGGTGTTAGCACACACAAGTCCCATGCAAACTCAGGGAGACAGTAATCCAGCATAGAACTGGGAAAATGAACAGCAGACCCCAATCTTCTCTAAAAGGAAAGTTGGCAACTGACTGCTGCTAGATGAGGAAGAGCTAATCTTCCTAAAACAAGGGATTCTAGATAGGCTGACTAGACTCAGAAGATGGACTTGCACTGGGGAACAGCTGGGGGCACTGACAACACAGTGGACAGTAACAGAGATGACAGAGTATACGGGGGCCAGTGGGAGGAGGCTATGGGACAGTGCCGTTTGGGATGTGGGTATAAAGATGAATAAGATTGTTTGGGATGTTCTGTATGTAATACAAAAAAAGTCGATAAAAAAATAAAAAGTAAAGTGTGTTTGCTACACGACTTAGCAACAGTTGGCTACACAATGTAGCAGTGAACTTGGAAAGTTTAAAATTCCTAAGCTACACAACTGTCACCTGTCTGCTGCAGTAGGAAGGATTCTGGATGTATTCTCTCCACTCTCTTCACCACTCCTTGTTAGAGAACAGTAAAACTCACAGGGCCATTCCCTGTAACATCTGACTGCAGGCCAAAGCACCACACAGAAGTACAAACTTAGTTACAGCCATTTCAAGGTGTCAAGATGCAGCCACAGTATAGCTGCAATCAAAGTTGTGCTTAAAATGGCTGGGTCATTGAAGAATCACTCTTACATTGATGTTCAACTCTGATCTGTTATCAGATACTGATATATTAGGGAATTCTTTATCCTAGTTGGTGTCTACACTTGCGATACCCTAGTCAAATACATTAGCATTGATAAATGTGGGAAGGCCTCCTGCCTTACCTAATCTTGTAACCCAAGTCACTTTTGCTTGATATCATTTAACACTGTACAGGCTGCCTTCCTACCATGTACTCAGTTTATTTAAATGCTAGCTTCAAGGAAAATAATATAATCTTGGTAGGTCTTGGGCTCCTCTCACAATTAGCTTTTACAAGCTAAGATAAACACATAGCTTTATTAAACTATGTTCCCTATTTTTCTCTCATGACCCTTTCTTGCTCGACCCAGAATTGTGTGTGTGTGTGTGTGCGCGCGCACACATCATCCCTGGAAGCAGAAACCTTGGAAGCAAGTTGAAAGCAACAAAAACAACATGTGGGCTTAGATGGGTAAGTCTGTGTTTTGTTTTGTTTTTAAAAAGATTCATTTTTATTTGTATTTATGTGTCTATGAATGTATGTATGTATGTGAATGCATGTGTGGGTGTTGGGAGGCCAGAAAAGGACATTGATTTCTTGCAGCATGGGTGGTTGTTTGTTAGTTGCCATGTGGGTGCTGAAATTCGAACCCAGGTCTTCTGCAAGAGCAGCTAGTGCTCTTAACTGCTGAGCCATCTCTCCAGCACTGTGCTTCTGGTTTTTGCATGCTGTTCTAGTCAGTGCATGGGGGGGGGGGAGCGGGAGAGTGTCACACAAGTCAGATTCTCCCCTGACAGGACAAATTCCTCATTCATTTCCCATATCGCACAGGATATACTGTTCAAATACATAGAATGCACCCTTTGCAGGAGGACAGTTATGAGAGAAAACAGGATCAGTTCTGAGAGGAGGTTGGGCTCACTCTTGGGTCACATAACTCCAAGAGTACAATCTTTCTTGAGTAAAGCACTGCTGCATTGTGGGGAAAATAAGACCTAAGATTAAAATTCCCAGACTATGATTATGAATTAGTACTGTGTGGATATAAGTGGGCTCGCCCCAAAAGCCAAATAAAGCATCAGGCAGAATTACATAAAATTACAAATGGAACAATTTATTTTAAAGTTTTCATTTTTAGAAATAAAAAGTTTTAAAAAGAACAAAAACAAAAAAATTGCAAAAATGGTAATTGTTATATCCTAATTGTTTAGGTATGGTCTGTAAATTCCAAATAAGTAAAATAATATAAAAATATATTTTCAATTCTTTATAGAACAAAAAGGAAACCACATAAATCATTAAATACTTTGGGCTTTTCTTTACTTCTACCATAGATGAATTTACATATAAAAACTGACGTACATTTACATTCTGAAGTACAAGTCTCCAACAGCCAAATAATCATACAGTTTATTTTATTATATATAAAGTATATACTTCATTTTTGCTAAGGAAGAAAGACCGGAGAATAATCATTAAACACCATAATTACGTTAACGCTGTTATAAAACGTAGGACAGTACATACACTTTGGGTAATTATGTACTTTTTTAAAATGCAAGTTTTTGAAAGGTTTCTTTGAAGAGCTGTGAGGTGACCATTTCAGATTTAGTAACAGTAATTTGTCAGTAACCTCAAAAATCCCAGCCAGGAAGGATCCTTTTTCTCCCATGTGGTCATCTTAAGGAAGGCCTGTGGTAAGAGGATGCACTTTAGAGATCTCAGAAACAAGTTTGCTGTCAACTAAAGACACCACCTCTGATATGGATGGCCTCATTCAATCCATGCTCAACCAGTTTTATATCTTCTAGGTCATCCTTTATGATGCTAATCAAGTGGCTAAGGCCTTCCTGTTGTTGTTTCAAATGCTAGAGTGAATGAAAACACAAAACAAAACGCATGTTTGTTAAACTGCAAGCTACTCAGAAGACTATACATACTAAATATGACAAGCATGCATATTTAAACCTTGGCCTATTATGTTGATCATAATACTATGATCAACAATACAAGATGTACTCCATAGAACAGTAAAATCAACCAAATTTACATCAGTATCTTTAAAGTGTTTTTTAAAAAGTTGCTCCTTTCATCAACCTTTGACCAGAAACAGAACCAAAAGTATATTAAAATAGAACTCAGAGAAAGTGCTTGAATATAGGTAACTAGGCAAAACAATTTTTAAAGTAGAATTTTTATGCTTTGCATGTATACTGGGCTGGTGGTGCAGATGATGGTGATTACAGCTGCTACTAGCACTGAGAAGTCAGCCCTTCTCTTGTAGTAAGGCACTGAAGTTTTTACTGGTAGTTCCTTAATTCATTGAAGATTCTTTTGAGTACCCTTTGGGCTACCAAGATCATTTCTACTTTATTGTTAAACAGACAAAGCTTAAGTAATCTGCCTAGATCAAAAAGTAAAGTAGCTGTCATGATTCTACCCTTAAACAGACATTGATTATCGAGTTTTAAAAGGGAGGTGCTCGTGTTAGTCTTACCTCTTCCCTCTGTAAATTAATATAATTCTGTCTCAAAATGGTTAGAATCTGTCTCAGTTTGCTTTATTTCAAGTACTTAAACAATGGAGTATTAATTATATGCTTTCCAAGAACCCTTTCCAATAATATCCATTCTAAAACACATTAACACTGGATTTGATGATGACATTTACAACCATTTAAAATCCTGAGGGCTGGGTGTGGTGTTGCTTTTTATCCCAGCACTTTTGAGAGGGAGAGGTAGGGGGATCTTTGAGTTAGAGGCCAGCCTGGTCTACAGAGTGAATTCTATGACAGCCACAGTCACAGCCTAAAAAAAAAAAAAAAGCCTTAGGGTAGGCCAGTAGCCTCATCCAAGTTCCAAAAAATTTACCATCTCAATACAGTTTTCTTTAGACACAACAACTGGATAGCTTTCATTACACCAATCTGCATTTACAGCAATAGGCTAGAACAGTGCTTCCCACTTTTTCACTCAAAGATAACCTTAAATGGTTGGAGGTTTTGACTACCCCAACCTCCAGCCAGGTCCCTTAGGGATAAGGGGCTCAATAACATATTTATAAGTTACATGTGGCCTGCAGTATGGGAAGGTGTGGTCTAGAAAAGTTGCCTCTCAATTTTTATATTTTCGCAGACAGGGTATCATGTAGCCCAGGCTGGCCTTTTTAACTTTTTGATCCTCTTGCCTCCCAAATGTTGAGACTATAGGTGTCTGCTATAGCATCCAGCTTATGTGGTTGCTGGGAATTAACCCAACCAAGGGCTTTGTACATGCTAGGCAAGCACTCAATTGTGCTACATCTCTAATCCTTGCTTCTCAATTTAATATACACACAGATCATTCTCGATCTTGATGAAATGCAGATTGAGTAGATTTGGAGGATTTGCATTTCCAATGATGGCAGTGCTGCCACTGCCTACATGTTGGCACTTCTAGTATAACCCAGATACATCCTTGCAGGAGGGAGGATGTTTAGCTTTAGTGTGGCAAACTGTGACTTAACATAAAATGTACCAGTTGGACCATATTTAAGTGTACAGGGGTGTTAAGTGCATCGACATTGTTGAGCGGCAGCTACTCTGCCTCTTTATGCTTCACAGAAGTTGAATCACATAACACTTGTCTTTGTGTGCCTGGCTTACTTCAAGGTCTATTCATGCTGCTGCGTGTGCCAGAATTCCTTCCTCCTTTTTAGGAGGGAGAAATACTCCACTATGTGTCTATATACACATATGTACAGATAACTCTTCAGTTCTCTGAATATATTCAACTCCTTGAATATATTTCAAAAAGTACAACTGCCAGATGAAATGATAATTCTACTTTTCATTTTTTTGAGGAACCAGTGTTTTCTATTCAAGCTGCACTATTTTATGTTCTTTAGTGATGTCTGAGAGCTCCAATTTCTCCAAATTCCGATCAACACTTAATTTCTGTTATTTGAGGAAAACAGACATCCTAACGAAGTGGTAAGTGGGCACTTCAGTGACCCTTGTGACACTTACCTGCTTGATTTCTCGTAACAGATCTGCATCTATGTAATATCTTTCTTCAGATTTCACAGCTCCAAAATGATTCTGCATTCTGATTTGGGACATCAGTTCATTTAGCCGACCCTAAAAATGAGTCAGAAAACAACTGCTAACAACTGCAACTACTTCTAAAGGCAGTGTCTATTTTTAAAAGGATGGTTTCAAAACTATCAGTTAAAATCCACAGTGTTTCCTCTGTACATGATTTAAAACACTAATAATGCTAGTCAAAGGAATCATAACTGAGGATTTATTTTAGAAAGGAAGTTATAATTTATTTATTTTGGTCTTTTTAAAAAAATTATTTTATTATTTTTATTTTATGTGTACGCATGTATTGCCTGCATGTAGGTAAGTATACCCGTGTTGTGCAATGCCCATGGAGGACAGAAGAGGCTGTTGGATCTCCTGGAACTGGAGTTAAAGACAGTTGTTAGCTGCCATGTGGGTGCTGGGATTCAAACCCAGGTCTTCTGCAAGAACAGTCAGTGTTCTTAACTGCTGAGCCATCTCTCCGACTCTATTTTTGTTTTTTTGAGATAGGCTCTCCCTGTAGCCCCAGCTGGCCTGGATTTGCTATGGAGACCAGGCTGGCCTCGAACTCAGAGATCTGCCTGCCTCTGCCTCCCAAGTGCTGGAATTAAAGGAGTGTGCCACCATGCTAGGAAGTTATAATTTAAATGAGAACAAATGCTTAAGACACAACTATACATAATTCCTGTTTGAAGAATACTTAACACTTCTTCATACTACAAAAAATATTAAATATCAGTCTTTAGGACAAAGAATTCAAATCTTTAACATTCCGCCCCGCCCCAATATATTCCAGAACCTGATGGCCTGAGGCCAACCCTTCCCCCCCTTCTTCATTTCCTTTACACTGATTCTTTTACAACTAGTCAACAGTGAAATATTGTGAGGACAATTTCTAGACAATGGGGAAAAGAGATAGTACTCTTGGGTAGAATAAAAACCTTTTAAACTTCTGGCTTGGGTGTGCTGGCTCAATACAAATGATACAACCCATCCTTTAGCAAAAGTAAAAGCTGCCTGCCTGAGTTACTTTCACTTTGTCCACATTTTGTTTGTGCAGTTCCTTGTGGGTTCCTTGGACCTTAGATTTTATTTCTAATACTATCCATCTGAAATTAGCTTTATAGACTTAGAAGTGCTTACCTTGAACTGAGTAGGTGCATTTAGTTCACACTGAATAGTATCTAGCTGAACCCGTAACTGTTCTTCATCAGCCTGTATAGCGTAGCCACTTTTCCTTTGAATTTCCTGTTTGATTAGGACCTATGCAAAAACCCAACCAAACAAAAATCATACCAGATGATCTAACAGAATCATTATCAGTTAAACAAGTGGTCTTATTACAATTAGTTGCTGATAAAAACTCGTGGAAAATTAATATAGTGGGGGATTAATAGTTCCAAGATCTGAATTATGCTTTGATCCATATTAGAAATATCAAATACACTGGTATATACTTAACAGTTAGGGTGGCAACAGTAGGAGGGAGACGATTGTTTGAAACTTATGAATTTTATGACTTTCTAAACAGTAGGTCATAGTGGTACACATCTGTAATCCTAGCACTCAGGAAGCTGAGACAAGAGGACTGCTGCACATTTGAGGACTTCCTGGGCTACACAGCTGGGTACCAAGCCAGGGCTATAGAGCAAGAACTTGTCTCAAAATAAATAAAACAGGTAGCAATATCAGTTTTAGACATTTACAGGCTTTCAGAGTCAAGTGTTCTTTCTGTAAAACCATAAGTATAATACAAGAACACAAAAGGCTTATTTTTTCATACTCTCAAGACACACAGTGCTGAAGTTCATTTTCCTATACTTTGTTCACATAAACATACAGAGCATGTACACACAGACCCAAAACACAGCCATACTATATACATTATGCTGTGACATGCTCCCGAACCTAACAATGCATTAAGAGTCTTTCATTGCCCTGAAGGGCAGGCTTTCTGCTTCTGCTTCTGCTCCTGCTCCTGCTCCTGCTCCTGCTCCCAGTCCCAGCCCCAGCTCCAGCCCCATCAAGGGCAGGCTTTCTGCTTCTGCTTCTGCTCCTGCTCCTGCTCCTGCTCCCAGTCCCAGCCCCAGCTCCAGCCCCAGCTCCTCCCTGTGAAGACTCAGGGCAAGTTCCTCCAAACGTTTATCCATGCTCCTGTCTTTTTTCATAAATATAAAATGGCTTTTATCCACTAGTTTTCAGAAAAAAAGGGGGTTTTATACCTTATTATTAAAGTTAATTAAAATGTCACGAAAATCCTTCAGAATTATAGCTCCAGTATGTTGAGTACATGCCTTTTCATGTATTACTAGATAATCATCTATCATTACTGTTTTGATGGGCATACTTTTTGTTTCTAGGTTTTGTTTTTGTTTTTTTTTGAGACAGGATTTCTCTATGTAGCTTAAGCTGGCACAGAAATTGAGAACATCGTGCTGAGGTTATAAGCACGTATCACCATGTCCAGCTCTAGTTTTGACTATGAAAAATGATGTAATAAACATTTTTGTATATAGAACTTTACTAGTATAAATCCCTAAGAATACAACTACTGGGGTTAAAAGTATGTTATGTCATAGACTAAAAAGCTGCCGGATTGATTTCCCGAAAAGACCCTAACAGTCTAGATTAACAAGCCACACATGAGGACCATCTTTACCCCACACTGCTCTCAGGAAAATTGGTGGTTATTTTAAAGATTCCAACCTGGTGAGTGTAAAAGGATCATGTTTTCTAATTTACAATTCACTGATTCCTAGTAAATTAAAGAGCATCTTTGGTTAAGGAGTGCTTTGTAAAGTTGGGTGTAGCAGTGAGTGCATGCCCACAATCCTAGCAGTTGGGAGACCAAGGTAGGAAGGAGCACAATGAGGCCAGCCTAGGCCACAAACAGAGTTCCAAATCAGTCTAGGCTGCACAGCTGAGACCCTGTTCAGACAAACTCAAAACACCAAAACCAAACAAACAAAACCAACAATAAAAAACAAGTACTTTGTGTTTGTAAACTGTCTTTACACATCTTTTTCCTACATTCTAATTAGATTTTATCAAATTATTCTGTACCTTGTATAATATATATGCTAACACTACAGCTAAAAAAAACAAATCAATGCTCTTTGAAAAATTTACTTCTGTTGAACTCAAGAATAATGAAAGATGTTATACAAAAATATTTCTTTGTATTTTTGAGAAAAAGTTTCATGTAGAGAAGTGTAGTCTCAAACGTGATATGTAGGTAACCTTGAATTTCTGATCCTTCCTGTCCCCACCTCCAACGTGCTAGGATTATGGGCATGCACCACCACATCCAGTCTCAGCCAATTTAAAAAAATTGTTTTTACTCATTTTTGTGCGTGTTTTGCCTACATGCATGCAATGTCTATGGAGGCCAGGAGAGGATGTTGGATCTTCTGGAACTGTAGTTGTTAGCCACAATGGGTGCTGGAAACAGAACCTGGGTCCTCTGCAAAAGCAAGCCCACAATGCTCTTAACTGCTGAGCCATCTCTCCAACCCCCAGCCGCTGTCAATTTTGATGTAAAGTATTTAGCTTTCTGGTAAGTATCTCTTCAATCTCTAAGTTATACATTTAGTCTAGCAATGGTAGGTTTGAGGTAAATATGTGAGTGCCTCCCAAGAGGTATGGAAATTCTTTTTAAGGTAATAGATTGTATGGTATATGAAATGTATCACAATGCTAAGTTGGGTTTTTTGGAGGGGTGGGGGTGGGGTTTGAGACAGGTTCTCCCTGTAGTCCCATCTGGCCTGAAACTAGCTATGTATATAGCTATGTATATCCAGGGTGGCCTGGATCTCACAGAGATTCCACTGCCTCTGCCTCCCGAGTGCTGGGATTAAGGGTGCGCACCACCACACCTGGCCTCGATGATAGTTTATACTTTCAGTTTTGTTACCACTGTTACTAAGATGGGTATTTTAGAATATTTTTACTTTCCTCCTGCACCCCATAAGATCTTTCCTCTAACTTTTGGATCTCACTGGGAATGTTTGGTACTTCCAGTTTCAGGCTATTTCCTATTAGTATTTTTCCTATTACAAAAATTCTTACTTGGCACATATTTCACATTAGCATCTTATGAACACTGGGGGAAGGGGGAAGAACGAATCCAATCACTACCTGTAAGGTTCTGTGGGAAAGATCCATGAGTTTCCTCTTGTATTGTGCTATTTTGGCCATAGTTGTAGTTTGATTCTTTTGTAGTTCACTAATATCTTCAGATATGATCTGTTGAAAGAAATGTTTTTAGGATAAATCAAGTAGGCTATAACCACCATTTAATAGGCACATTTACATGTAACATCTAATTCTAAGATAGTCTTGAGGTTTATCTCTCAAACACTTTGCCTTAATTCAGCATTCTAAATAGTTTTTAAAGATTTATTATTTTTATTTGCTGGACATGGTGACACATTCCTTTAAACCCAGCATGTAGAAGGCAGAGGTAGGCAGATCTCTGTGAGTTCAAAGCCAACCTGGTCTACAGAGAGTTCCAGGTCAGTTAAAGTTGCAAAGTAAGACCCTATCTTTATATATATGTTTGTTGTTGTTTTTTTGGTGTATAAGTGTGTGTCTACATGTACATATGAAGGGTACCCTCAGAGTCCAGAAGGGAACATTGGGGTCTCTGGAGCTTGAGTTCCAGGCAGTTGGGAGCCACCTTATGTGGGTGCTAGAAACCAAACTCAGGTCCTCTGCAAGAGCAGTACATGCTCTTAACCCCTGAGTCACCTTTCCAGCCTGCTAATTCTGCATTTTGTATCCTCCCATTTATATCTAAAAATTAAAAGGCACCATTCAAAGATTATTTTAGACTTTAGGATATTTATTGATGTGACAACATATTCTTTTTAAAAAATGCATTTAAGAAATAAGGAATTTTAAGTAATGTTATGGAATAGAACCAACAATCAGGCTGAATGGAAAAAGTTAAAATCTGTAAAAGGATGTGGATGGGGGGCTTAGGCTTAACAGAAAATTAACCCAAAGCTACTAGAGCTAGAGAGTAGAGTCCGGCACATGTTACAGAACACCTGAGGAGTAGTCAGAGCAGAGAGAAAAAGGAATGATACAAATCCTAAAACTGAATAATTTTTTTGCCTCCTGGTCTTTGATTTGCTCTCTGCTTGGCTTAAAATCCCAGTATTCTACCTTAGAATGTCTTAATCTTAACAGAGTAGGATAATCTGTGTGTGCACTAGAACATGCATGTGTTCATGTGGGTAATGGTGCACATGCTTGCTTTATGTGTATAGGCCAGAGGACAACCTCAAGTGTTATCAGCTTTTTCATTTTTGAAGGCAGATATCCTACTGGCCTGGAATTTGTCAAGTAGCCTAAGCTGGCTGGCCAGTGAGCCTCAGGGATATGCTTGTCTGCCTCCCCGGCACTGTGGTTACAAGAGTGTACCACTATGCTTGGCTTTTTTATGTGGGTTCTAGGGACTGGACTCAGGTCCTCATGCTTGGCACTTTATAGAAGGAACTATCTCCTCAGCTCAAGAATAGGTTAAAATCTCTTCATTACATTAAAGTATCCCAATCAGGTTAAGTTCCATAATTATCTCTATCACAATCACTTACGCTGTGCCACTGGTCATTATTAGCATGTTAAGGAGGACAAGAAGATTGTGCAAGGCATTGTATAATGTCTACCTGTGTGGATTACCTTTGTCTGGGCTGGGAGACAAGGACAGTACTAGGGATTGAACCTAGGGCCTGGCATATGCTACACAAACACTCTACCATTGAGTTGTATTCCCACTTCTGTTTGTTGTAGGTGCTATGTACACAGAAATGACACCAAGGCATTCCTTTTCTCCAGGAAGCAGTTTGTGTGGTAGCACCTGGTTCTGTGGGTTTGTGCTAAAAAGACAGAATCTTGAACTAAGACCCAGCCTGTAGACCCTCTATTCGTTTCCTTTATAGCTCAGTTTGTCTCTCATATATGGTAACACAAACATCCTGACTGAGTACTCCAAGCTACAAGGTCATGAGAGGCAGAACTATGTACTTGTACTCAGGCACAGACCACAAATGTATTGTTTTCCTCTGCTCTAGGAGATTCACACCACATCTTTTCATTTATCATACTGAGACAGAACTTCACTACATGCCAGACTGGCCTTGAATATACTTGAACTTGCAATCCTGCTGATGCCTCCCAAGTAACTAACATAGGATAGGCCTGTGCCACAAAGCAGTTTCCATCACCTTTTAATGAAACAGACTCCTCCAGGTCATTATGAAGGGAAAAAAATAAGGTGATTATGTTAACCATCCACAGCATTTATTTAACAATCTAAAATTAGCCTAAAAAGAAAGTGTATTTTAAAAGAGACTATCTGGAAACTATTTAAAAGGACATACAAGACCTCACTGTTAAAGAGCTATAGCATATTCATGGATGAAATGACTTCAGATTCAATTCCTACCAGGTGTAGTGTTATGCAGCTGTAACCTCAGCACTTTCAAGGTAGCAGCAGGGGGATCAGAAGTTCAAGGTCATCCTTGACTACATGGTGAATTTAAGGCTAAAAATTTATTTTAAAGGTGATACTCAGGGTTGGAGAGATGGTTCAGTGTTAATAGCATTTACTGATCTTGCAGAGAACCCTCATGGCGGCTCACAACCATCTATAACTCCAGTTCCAGGGATCTAATGACCTCTTCTGCCCTCTGTGGACTTGCACACATGTGGTACACTTACATACACACAGACAAAAAACTTATACATAAAATAAAAAGTAATAAATCTTTAAAAAAAGAAGCTGATACTCATAAATTCAGTGTATACAGCCTAACATAGGGTCTAGAAATTATGTCACAAGAGAAACCATGCTGGAATTTCAGGACAAAGGATATTGAAAAGGAAAAAGGATTATGTTCAAATATGTATGGGGCTTTCAAAGGAAGCACAGTGACTACACTCAGAAATGCCAGGGAAAACAGGTATAAACCGTAACAAGGCAGATACTAGATCAGTGTAAAAAAGAGACTTGTATTCAGAGCTGGCTGACAATGAAATGGGTTACTTTATAAACAGTAAGCTTTTTATTCTTCAGTCTAAATGAAACCAGAACTGCACATAAAGGAGTATGTCATAACACAGAGAATGCAACAGATCTTGTGTGAGCTTAGAGGCTAAACAGGCCTATTTAGTATTTGGATAAAAGAATATGGAAGTGATTTTGAATAAATCTACTAAGGCTACAAATCTGAACTCATTATAATATGTTAATCTGAACTCAATATATTATAATGTTAAATCAAATTTAGATAAGCGGAGGCTACTGCCATTAAGAAAGGAATTATATATAACTGTAATTGTTAATTTGCAGTGTATTGGTTCCCTATAAGAAAAAATAGCACACATGGTAAAAACATCTATAATTCTATCTATTCTTAGGACTAGAGAATGAAAAGTGAATGCTTACATCTAATCTGGTCTGATGTTGCTTAGTCATCTGATCTTGAACCTTTAGTCTTCGAAGAAGTTCTTTGAAACCTACCATTGGTACAGGAATTAATCTGAAATGCAAGATAAATTTTGATATCCTTTATTACTACAAAATGAAGTATTTCATGAATTTTACATGGACTGTAAATGTAACAATGCAACAATGAAATCAGCAGTTACTACACTACTTTATTCAACCTCCCTATTTTACCAATGAGGAAATTTAGTTCAGTCACAAACATATTTAAATGCAAATGTAATTAAGAGACTAGCATTCAGATTTCTTCATTTCTAGCTAGCTTCACCACACTACATTGCCTTACCAAAGTAGATACTTTTTTTTTTTTAAAAGCAATGAAAATAACTCTCCACAATTTAAGAATCAGAATAGCCCATACTTGCTTCCCTCCTAGTAAACATCAGTCTGTACATAAAGGAAGATGACCACACACTTACTTTTCAGAATCAGGGTTATCCACCTTGGCTTGTTCCCAAATGATAGGATCAACACCTGACACACAAAAAAAGATTTTTGGTTTTTCTATATGTATGGAAAATGCTTTCTTAAAGTAAGACATCAAGCTCAGAAACTAACGGGGAGTTATTGTCAAATATGATAATTGTAAAAATAATTTTATAGGGTAAAGTGAAAACAAAAATACAGATTGAAAGGCAATACCTGCAACTGATAGGATAATATATTAACCTTCAGAATATAGAAAGAGCCCACAGAAACAAGGACAGCGAGGCTAATGGAAAGCGAGTGAAAGTTATAAGAAGGTAATTCACAAAAGACACAACATGCAGCTAATAAGCATGAAAAGATGGTCAACTTAACTTACTTACCAGGAAAATACAGGTTAAATATTAGTTTTTAAGCTAATTCACTGCCACCAGTAGCAAAAAACTATTATAAATTCACAGAAATTTCTTTGAAGGGCAATTTGGCAACAAATACGTATTCCGAGTTGGATTCAAACTGATGGTCTTCCTCATTCCACTTGGCAAAGACTAGGATTACAGGGATGCACCACACCATGCCCAGCTACCAGAGATCTTATTCTAAAGAACTATATACCCATGTGTTCTAAGGCATATTTCCATAGATACCAATTGCTGCATAGTGTGGAATATCACAAAGTGTTTAAATAGAATAAAATTTATCTTCATGTACTAATATGAAAATACTAATACTGTAAGTAGAAAGGCAAGCTGCAGTAAATGTACAGTGCAGAATCCTTTTCTACTACATATATGCTTGCATTTAAAGTCAACAGATAACAGGATTAACAGACAGTAACAGAATTAACAGTACTATTAACAGTTACTTGTAGGGGAAGGGAAATAAACTAGAATGATCACTTATCTACTTAATTAGGCCAGTTTTAAAGTATGAACATATTTAAGTTTTAATTACTCAAACAAAAGCTTTAAAAACTCAAAATATCTCAAATAGATTATGAACTTTATCATTTATAATAAACATATGGCTATATAATTTTTAAATTACAATTGATTATAATACAAATATTCAAAACTACATTCCAAATAAGCAGGTATGTGATAAGCCCACACACTAATAACCAACACTTCCCAAGAGAGTAAGCTTTATTTCTAAATCTTTTATTTTGCTAATTCCGTGACTCTCACAACATACCAGCAGGAGGATTCTGCAAAAGCTGTTTGATCTGCGCAGGAGAAAGTTCTGTTCTAGTCATAGAAAGGGTTACACCAAGCTGCTGCAACTGTGTTTTAATATTGGCTTGCTCAAAATGAGCATATAGTGTTGTTGCTGGAACTCTTCTGGAGGTGCCATTTGGAGAACGTTCAACAACATAAATGACAACCTCTGTCCTAGAGGAAAACAGATAATTTATGAAGTACTGAGCACATAATCCATAGCCACAACGATCATAAAACATGTTTTTAACAGAGTGCTAGGTGAAATCACAAATGGTTTTTACAAGAGGAAATGGCTTTTCTTAAATCTTAGAAAGTAAACCTACATGTTATACTCACTTGTAAATCAACCTGAATGATGAAAGTGAAAACGAAGCAGGTAATTAAGACATGCCCTTTTTTTTTTTTTTTTTTGGTTTTTTTGAGACAGGGTCTCCCTGTAGCCCCAGCTGTCCTGGAACTCACTATGTGGACCAGGTTGGCCTTGAACTCAAAGAGATCCACCTGCCTCTGCCTCCCGAGTGCTGGGATTAAAGGCGTGCACAACCATGCCTGGCAAGAGTATGCTTTTTTAAAGATGTGCTCAGCAGTATAGTCCTATATAAACGTTTCTCACTATTTTTTTCCAGAATCATTAAGTACTATGGTCACTCTACCAAAACTTATATGCTGCTTCTCTGCAATTAAGACCCAAAAGGTACAATCTGATCCAGTTATTATATCTTACTAGTAATAATAATGATAAAATTCATCTAACCTTAAATATCCAAAAGTAAGTATCTTGGACTAAGTCGAAAATTTATGTAGGACAAGAGAAATAAAAAATCATCATCCATGAATGAACATAAAGAGTTATCAGGCTGGACATGATGGTACATGTTTGTAATTCCAGCACTTGGGAGGCAGAGGCAGGAGTAGCACTGTAAGTTCAAGGCTAGCTTGGTTTACATAGTGAGCTCTTGGGTACCCAGTACTACACAGCAAGACTGTCTCAAATCCAATAAAAACAAAACAAAGCAAAAAGAGTGATAAGAAAATGAACGCTTCCAGTAGCACCTTGTGGCACTCATCTACACACAGCCACAAGGCTTCCTCCTGCTCCTGAATGAAAATCTACTAGTTAGCATCTATAAGATAAGAAATCCAAAACAGAGAAAAGCTTCAATCATTTCTATACAAATTTAATAATTATCAATTGAGAAATAACAACCTGCTCTGAGACTTCATTTGTGCTTCAGCAGTAACAAAACCCACTGCTGAATAAACAGTGTATTTAATGTATACTTACTGATCATCTGGCAATGTCTTAATACCTTCTAAATTGACAGTCAGGGTCTGGTTTCCTCCCAAGACTTTATGCAATGATTCTACCAATTGCTGTTGTTGGCTTCTAATATCTGTTTCTTTTTTGTTGAAAACTAAAACCATTAGCCCATCTTCATCTTTATTATTGGGCATACAACTATAACCTACAGCCTGTGAAACAGACAAAATGACATTAAAAATATAAACACATTTTATATTTATAGATACCAAATGTTCAAGATAGCATAGTATCTGCTAAACTGAGAAATACGGTGATGAAGGGAATGATTCCTCCATCATTCTGTACCTGAGTTAAATTATAAAGAAAAACAGCATTATACAAGACTAACATAAACAGTGAAACTAAAATTTCCTCTCCAACACAGTAACTAAAGAACTTTCTCTGAAATTTTTCATTATTTATTTTGGGGTATCTCTGACACACCAAGACAACTGTGCACGACATGAATGTAACTGCAGAGTCATGGACTGAATGTACTCATCTCGTTATATTCTGATTCGTGAATCCTAAATGAGGTTTTCGTTACATAAAGAAATAATTTACAAGTAAATATTTTTAAGTACAATAATAACACTGTCATATTACAAATGATACAAGTAATGTATCATTTTATAATGTCACGTAACAATACATGATGATATAGGGTATTTATATATTAAATATGAGTCAGAAATAGACCACACAATATTAAATTTGAGGAATTACATGTTGCTAAAAATCATTTATAGATAGTAAAATTTTGTCCTATGTTCCCACTTACATGCAACTATTTAAAGCATTTAAATTTCATTCATGTGTACTTTATGTACTTAATTACATGCACTATAAATCAACCTTTAGGAAAAGAAAAACATTTAATTATCATTTCAACATGTTTAATATTGTATATCTTTAAACAATAATATTAAAAGTTCAACTAATGTACTAAGAATGCAGGTAAAATTATCCCTAATGTGAAAATCTAAAATCCAAAGTACTCCAAACTAAAACTTTGTGTGTCAACATGATGCCCAAGTGAAAACTTGTACATCTGACCACCTATGATGATGGGTCATAGTCCACAAGCACACTGAAAATACCATGTAAAATGACCTTTAGGCTACATGTATAAGCCGTATGTAATACGTCAATTTCCTGTTTAGACATGAATCCCATCCCCAAGATATCTCACTATACGAATAAATATTCCAAAATCTGAAAAGTCTAACGTGAAAGATTTCTGGTCCCAAGGTGTTGGGGTGAAATTCAATGGGAGAACACCTGCCACATGAGGCTCTGGATTTGATTTTCTAATACCAAAAACTCAAAACAAGCATGGAAACAGAAAGTCAGGTAAAGTATAAACTTGACTGTAGTACGTTCATTTGTTATGGAAAATATACAGCCAGCTGGGTGTTTCGGTACATCTCTTTAACCCAACACTCCAGAGGCTAAGGTAGGATCATTAACCTGAGGCCAGCCTTGGCTACATAGTGAGTACAAGGCCAGCTTGGGCTATGTACAGTAAGATCCTCTCTTATGAGTTTTCTTTAAAAAAAGAAAGACACTTTAGGTACAAGTATACCTAAATACTTCTGGCTGAAGAACAGATTATCTGAAGTCAAATTAGAACAAGATGGTTGTTTGGTAGGCAGTGAGGCAGAACAAAGAAAATGGCCCATATTGTTTTGCTGGCTTTGGCATCCAGCGCTAACAACAGTAACAGGGTTATACATGCCAAAGAAAATTCTTGTCCACAGGCTGGGATACACTTCCCTGACCAGTGTTAAATGAATACACCTAAGTCTAGTTTTGAATTTCCCCTTCTTTTGTTTTTATTTTTTATTTATATTTGTATTTCTGCATGTATGTGTGTGCCTACATGTGGGCATGGGCATGTTATAGCACACATGTGTAGGTCAGAAGACAACTTACAAGAGTCAGTTCTCTCCTTTCACATCATGTGGATTGGGGGTGAGAGTCTCAAATTCAAGTCATAAAGCTTAGCAGCACAAACTTTCACCCACTGAGTCATTTTGCTGGCTCTATTTTTGTTGTTTTGAGACAGGGTCTAATGTAGCCCAGGCTAGCCCCTATCTTGCTCTGTTGCTGAGGATAACCTTAACTTTAGATCCTCGTGCCTCCATTGCCTGAAAGCTAGGATTACAGGCATGTACACTATACCAGGTTACCATTAATTTCCCTTCTGCTAACACTTTTTTTTCCTCAGTCCTATTCTGGTCATGCTGAACCACACAAAAATTTTTTTGAAATCACTTTAACTTAGTAATTTCTGTATTTTACAAAATAAAAGTATTAACCATACCATTCTCAAGAAGTTCCAAAGAACCAAGCCATCATTTTTCAATGTAATTTTAATCTAAAAGTAACATTCTCTCTTACAAACACTCTTTAAATGAAGATTAAAAAAACACAATACCTTAAATCGGCAAAAGGGATTTTCTTGTGTAAACTCCACTGGAGGAATATTATTGTTGAAATATCCTTTTCCTGTTCCCCAAAAAGCCTGCAGTTGATTCCACTTTGCCAAAATAGCATCTCTCTCATCTCCCAATAGTGTTGGAGCAGAAAGAGCACTTGCAGTATTTATCAACTGATTGGACTGGGCAGGAGCTTGTGTAGGCTGACTAAAGAGACCACCTAATGCTATAAAAAAAAATAAAATAAAATTCAGATCCTAGATATGGTAGGCAAAATACTGCTTTTCCTCAGATTCCCATATTCTAACACACACACACACACACATATACACACACACAGGCAAGAGTCACTAAATGGAAGGCCATGAACTGTTAGTTAAAAGTATTTAGCAAAGATAGCAAAGAGAGATAAAGCGACAAGTGTCAGCTGTCCATAAAGCCACTGAGAAGTAGAAAAGGAGCTGTATTGGAAACAGTTGAAAGGCAGACTAAATGAGCAATAGCGTGTGGGCTGTTAACACTAGTAACTTTAGACTCAGAACACTTTTAGACATTACCAAGGAGCAGAATAAGGACTATGACTGAAGAGAAATGGAGAGCTTTGGAGTAAAAGGCAGAGAACATGGCTATCTGAGTCAGTATCTAAACACAAACTGATCGCTTAAGTTGGAAAGCAAAGCAGATACTGAGATTAGATGTTTCAGAGATGATGCAACTAGATTGCATTTCAAACAAGCAGAGCTTTAAAAATAAAACAACGAGATGCTCGCACTCTTGCAGAAGACCCAGGTTCAGATGCCAGCACCCACAGGGCAGCTAACAACCATTCAGTTCCTGGAGATCTAATGTCGCCTTCTGACCACTGCAGGCACTACATGACAAGGGTGCACTTAAATACTTGCACATAAAATAAAAATAAACAAATAAATAAAATAAAATAAAACAAAACAATAGCCCCCAAATCTTTGCAAGTTAAATTCAAAGCCCTTAAAACAGTAACTAAGGGCCTTTTAATGATCTGGAAATTATCTTTCTTCAAATTATACCTGAGAAGAATAAACAGAAAACAGTACATTCAACCAGGTATGGCGACTCATACCTATACCATCAGTACTTGGAAAGGTGGGTTTCTACCCACCTTTGAAGCCAGCCTGGGCTACATAGTTCCAAGTCAGCCTAGGATACAGAGTGAGCTACTGCCTCAAACACTACATCCAAGGAATAATTAGGTTTCACTAAAGGCGAGAGTCAACAATGTTGAGAGAAGAGCAAAGACATAAGGGCACTTGTTAATCATGGAGTATGCTTAGGAACAAATACATTGCACTAGAATAGATAAATAAGAATTAGGAAAGAATTGAAATTATTTAGCAAACCTCGAAAATGGAGAAATTAATATATACCTATCAATAACAACCCTAAATGTAAATAGTTTTAACTTTCCAATTAAAAGATGCAGACAAGAGCTCAAGAGAAGGCTTGATGGATAAAGTGCCTGCCACACAAGCATGAGGACAGAGTTCAGATCCCCAATACCGACATAAGAAGCCAGGTGCAGCAGCAGCATACACCTGTGACCTCTGTGCTGGGGAGACCCCTGGGGCCTGCCAGCCAGCCAGCCTATCCAAATCAGATTCTATCTAAAAAAATATGGTAGAGAGTGATTGGGAAGACACCCAACATTGACCTCCGGCCTCCACATGCATATGCATATAAGTGCACATACATGTACACACACATACAGAACTGACAAATGAGATTGTGTGACATTAAAAAGCTTGTACAGAGCAAAAGAAAAAAATTACCAGAATGAAGATGGGAGAAAATCTTTGACTGCTACTGATCCAACAGAGCATTCACATCCAGGATACATAAAAAACTCAAAACTTTAAACATAAAACCAACAAATAATCCAGTCAGTAAACAAATAAATCACGTTTTAATCCTAGCACTCAGAAGGCAGAGGCAGGCAGATCTCTTTGAGACTGAGGCTAGCCTCTCAACATAACAAGTTCAGGTCAAATGAGGCTAAAGGGAGACCATGTCTCAAAAACAAAGAAAACAAAACAACTAAACAAACAAAAAACCCCCAAGCAGTAAAGAGTGCTTGCTGCTCTTCCAGAGGGCCCAAGTTGGGAATCACAACTACCTCTAACTCCAGATCCAAGGACTCAAATGCCCTCTTCTGGCCTATATGCACACACATGGCATATACCCACACCCACATTCACACCCACACCACACCACACCACAATAAAAGTAAATCTAAAATAGACAGTTCTCAAAACAAGTACAAATGGCCAATAAACACAAAAATGTTCAGCATCTTTGGTGATCAGGGAAATGTAAATCAAAACTACCCTGAAATTCCACCTTATTCTTATCAAAATGGCTATGTCAAGAAAGCAAAACCCAACAAATACTGTTGAAGATGTAGATGTTACAATCCCAATCAAATCAGCCAGTCTTTTCCCTAGTTCCTATCATGCATAAATATGAAAAGTAACTTTTGGTATTCTTTGGCATATAATTTAATCCTTTAAAAAAAAGATAAGCTGAAGTATTTCACACGATGCACTCCATAATGTATGCTATTACTGGGACGACTTTCCATTTGAAGATTAAAAACCTCATACTTACTAGTTTGCTGCTGCTGCTGCTGCTGTGTATTAAATCCTCCAAATCCTAGCCCAGTTCCCAAACCAGTGCCTAAACCAGTGCTAGTTCCCGTTGCTGTTCCAAAACCAGTACCAAAGCCAAAACCTTTGTTCTGAGTACTGCCGATTAGTCCTTTGAATGAAAAATCAAAATTGCATAAGTTAAAAAAAAATTCTTTTTACCTCTACCATATTTACTTCTTATGAATGACTTAAAATGACCTCTTACCAGTACTGCCTGTGTTTGTTGGGGCAGAAAAGCTGAATGCAGAGCCTGCAGTTGTAGTTGTTGTTCCAAATCCTCCAAACCCACCTAATTAAAAAGGGATAAAAATACAAAGTTTTTTTGTATAAAGGCAATTTCATCTTCAAATTATAATTGCTAAATATATAAATATTAATATAAATTTCCCTTTATTTTCAACATCATTAAAAAAAACCTACAGTACTAGTTAAAAAGTCAATATATTGCAAGAAATAAATGACCAAGTATTTTAAATAGAAATACTACTATGCAATACACACCCTTTAACTAAATGGGTAACATGGTTGAAAACAATAAACCTTTTGCCTTAACTCTAAAATGATACAGCAGAGATTACAAACTCAAATGTCTACAAGGTTTAAACTATTAAAAGAGCTGTTGACTGATAATGGAGCTGTTTAAAGCAAAGTTTTCAAAAATGTCAGCAGTCCCTAAATTCCAGCAGCCCACTACTGCACAAGAATGACGGGACCACTCCTCCTCCAACAGAAACAGGAAATCTGGATCCTCTGTGTAAAATTAATGGGATTTTTGCAGTGCTGGGGAGTCAACCTAGGGTCTTATACATGGCTAGGCAAGTCCTCTACCCCTAAGCTACATCTATGGCTCAAATTTATAGTTAAAAAAAATCCAGTTCAACTTCTTTGTTTCACAACAAATTGAAGTGTTTAAAAAGTAGTGGCAAGCACATCATGTCAGCAGACTGTTTTGCCAGCTTCAACCTTCATTTTGGGGAATTAGATGACCTCTACAGAACCTTATAGTTCTGCTTAGTATAAAGCAATTCAAAAGAAACAAAATAGTTCTCCCTCTGCAGAATAAGAATGCCTTTCTTGAGGGAAAAGATAAAGGCGAAAAGCAAGTGAAAGCAGTGTCAGGGAAGGCAGCCAAGCTACCATGGGCCTCTGCTCTATGCTGGGGCAACTCTGACATATTTTATTTTTATCTAAGTCTAGACAAAATTAATCTTAAATATCTAACATATGAATACATTGAAATGCTATTTTTATTCTTCAGGTTTTCTGGGATGTTAACTTTAATACCATATATTTCTTGTAGTAAGACCGACTCATCAATATTGCAACACAGGACAGGTGTGGTGGCGCATGTCTGCAATTCCAGCACTAGGGGAGCTAAGGCAGGAGGATTACATGTTTAAAGGAACCTTAGCCACACAGTGAGATGCTGTCTCAAAAAAAGTTTAAGCATTTTAATCTATATTATTTGTTGGTGGTGGGAACTGAACTCAAGACCTTGCAAATAATAGGCAACCAAGAACTGTACCACTATGCTACTCCTTTAACCCTTTAATAATACAATCCTGATTTGGAAAATTAATGAGTTGACTGTATGCTGCACAAGCCAGTACAACCAGGTATTTTATTAACTTATAGGTTCTATTCTTATATTTCAAAATATCAAAAATGTTTCATTAGGAATAGTAAAGCCGAATGGATAATCAGCCCTTTGTTGAAGGCCGTTAACATATTTAAAAGTCATCAAAACAGTTACATTTGCACAACTCAAAACTTAACAATGATAACTTCAAATGAACATGAACTCAAGCATATACAAACAGGTTTATTTACTGTTACTGAATTACATGGCTCGCTTTATTCTGAAACACGAATTTCAAAATAAGATTTCTGTTTTACCCAGTGCCAATTTTAAGCAAATAAGGATAAACATACCAAGGGCAGTGATATGTGACCACCTCCAATACATCCGAATGGGTTATTCTATCTTTGGAATTTTCAAGCAGCTTTCAAGGTTTTTTAAAGTCAGACACTAAGGTGACATTCACAGTGCAGTGGCATGTAAATGAGCAAAATATCTTATTTATAAATAAGCTTTAGGAAGTAATGCTTACCAAATGCATATAATTGGCATGGGCAGAAGCAGCATAACAGAAGAGAATATGGACTGTAAATTCATATACGAGCAGCGGAGGAACTAGATTTTCCTAAGGGGTCATTTTATGTTGAGCACTCATAAACCTACTTTAAATGCAAATATATATCCATCATATTTATGTTCTGGAAAAAATTTAATGATCTTCAAACAATCCACAGATTAAAACTCATTATTTATCTGGCAAATTAAATTGCTCATTGAGAATTTCCCAAAAATCCAGTAAAGAATTAGAGATTCTTATGACAATTCTGAATCATATAGAAATGCATCCTAATGTGCTAAGTTGATTGGAAAAAAAACACTATACAAGTTAAAAAACAAGACAGGTTACTGCTGTTCGTATAAGACTTGTTTCTCTTGGAAACACATGGACAATAAAATGAAATCCCCATGAAATATGCAGAAAAACGAAAAATGATTGCAGGAGTCCAAGAATCCCAGAAAAACTGGTGAGCTTACACTTTGGAAGATACACTGAATAATTTGAAAGATACATTCTATTCAAAATAAAAATCCATTACAAATTCTTATCATTTGGAAGATGTATTCTGTACGAGTAAATGCAAATTTAACAAGAGAACATTATAATATAAACTCAAGAGTTTCCAAAACCGCATCTTTTAAGACAGTCAAAATACATACTTTTTTATTTAACCTTAGGAAATGAATTCCTTCCCTTATTAGACAAGTACTACTGGTCTTTCCCAAACTCTAGAAACCACGAAATATTCTTGGACTCCAGCTCCCGACACTCGTTACACATACGACCCGCAGTATCTACCTGCACTTGCCAGACTGTTACCAAAATTGAACGGAGTCGCCGAGGTGGTAGAAACACCGAAATTCCCAATATTAAAGTTCACTGCAGGGTTAGCAGTTAATCCGAAACCCCCAAAATTAAACCCACTGGCGGTGGAGTTGGCAGTCTCAAGCCCACCAAATCCTGATAGACGTGGAGGCAGAGAAACAAAATTTTAAAAGGGGGAAAGAAGAAAAGGAAAAGAGAGCAAGAAAAGAATTAGAAGAATCAGCAAGAGGTTTCACAGAAGTGAACAAACCTGACTTGTGTCCAAACAGGTTAAGAAAGCCGAGGAGGTGGGGACAGACAGAAGGAGCTCGAACTCCTGTGGCGAAGGGCACATGGGGCTGGGACCGAGGGAGCTACGGGCGGGTCTGGCTCCCCGGCCTTGCCCGCCGGCCGCAGACAGAAGCGGACAGGGACGGAGGGTCCCGGGTGAGGGAGAGGGGCGTAACTCCGGCCCGTCCGAGGCGGACTCCGCGGCGGCCCGCAGCGACCCTCCGAGGCCGAGCACCCCGGGATGCACGCGCAGCGCGAGCTCCAGGTGGAGCCTCAGCGGCAGGGCCTCCTCCCCGCCAGGGCGTCCTCCTCCCGCCGCGGCCCCCTCCTTCCCGCCGCGGCCTCCACTCCGCCGCCGCCCGCCCTTTTCAAATGCCCCGAAAGTCTCCCGCGCGCCAGGGCAACCCCGGGATCCCCCAGCCCGAGAGTCTGGGGCAGAGAGGGCGGACCCAAGGCTTCCCTTCCTTCGTGGGAGAAGATCCGGGGCTAACTCACCCGCGGGTGCCGCGGTGGCTGCAGCGGTGCCAGTAGTGCCCGATGGAGTCCCAAAATTGAAGGCCATGTCGCGGGAGCAACCCTTTGGGAGTCCCGGGCTCCCGCGACGCGACGCGACGCTCGGTGCGCTCGCCTCTTCCGTCCGGCTGGGAAACCTGGTTCGTATCATTAGTTCCGCCTCCCTTCTGACTTAGGTAAGGAGGCGGGACCCAACCAAGGATGTAGAGTGGGTGGAGGGTAGAACCGGAAAGTCCACGACGCCGCTCACTTCCGGGGGTGTGTTGTGGCTTTATGTAGCGTGGGGCGTCACAACTAGGGGGAGATGCTGGGCAGCTGGGTGTCCTGTGCTTCTCCCTGGGTGCTCTTTGGAAACTCTGCAGAGGGCTGAAGTTGTTTCTGTAGGGATCTGTGCACTAGGGTGTGAAGACGCGTCCTTACCAAAGAGTGGGCCAGTTCCCGGGAAGTTCCCAGGAAATGAAGTTTGAACAGGCTGAATAGATGAAGCAGGTGGGAAAGAGGCATTTTGGGAGAATGGAAAGCTAAATGGGAATAGCAGCAACGCGTGTGTTTACAGTGTGGTAAGCACTCTAGTAGTCGTTTTGCATATTTTAACTCAATCCTCAAATGTCTTCTGAGACATTTTACTAATATTTTACGGATCAGGAAAGAGGCACAGGGGGAGGCTGGAAGTGTCTTTTTTTTTTTTTTTTTTTTTTTTTTTTTTTTTAATAGGGTCTCCCTGTAGCCCCATCTGGCCTGGAACGTGCTATGTAGACCAGGCTGGCCTTGAACTCACAGAGATCTACCTGCTTCTGCCTCCCGAGTGCCGGGACATGGCTGGCTAGAATATGTACTCTTAACCACGCTGCCTCTAACAACTTAAGGTGAGCATCCTTACAGTAACCCCACAGGGAAGATTCTGTTAACCGACCAATTTTCAGAAGAGGACTGAGCTAAGCAGCTTCCTCAGCATCATCTTGCTGGTACATACCGGAGTCTAGTTTTAAACTAGGGTGTCTCTGCTTAGCTCCACTGTTTTCTTAATTTTCATTGTATATGTTCATTGGACATGGTACTGTGTTGCATCAGGACATTTCTTTTTTAGTGGGGACAGGGACTCCCTGTAGCCTCAGCTGGCCTGGAACTCACAATGTAGACCAGGCTGGCCTTGAACTTATAGAGATTCACCTGCCTCTGCCTGCCGGAGTGGTGGGATTAAAGGCCTGGGCCATCACACCCAGCTGCATCAGGACATTTTCATACAAATATATATATAGTGTTGAACATTCCTCCCCTCACCCCTACTTTTCTCCTTTCCTAGTTTGTTTCCCTAGATAATTTTATTACAATTTCCATGGCCAATTTGTGTTTGTGATTTTATGTATGTATATAAAATCTAGGAATCATAAATGAGAGAAAACATTTTCTTTCTGAGACTGGCTTAATTCATTTAATATACCCATTTTTGTTCAACTGACATAACTTCATTGTTTTAATTGCTGAAAATGCCATTGTGTATATATACCACATTTTCTTTTTACATCCTCTGTTGTTGGACACATACCTGGTTAACTATTGTAAATGGTACTGCTACAAACATTTTTTTGTAAACGTGTCTGTGATATGTTGACTTGCAGTCCTTTGGGTAAATACTCAGGAGTATTACAGTGGATCATATGGTAGATCCACTTTTAGGTTTTGTTTTGTTTTGTTTTGAGGGACTTCTTAACCCCACTTAATTTTTTTTTCATGTGTATCTTTGCACATGTGAATGTGTGGGTACACATGCATATATGTGCATATGCCTGTGGAGACTGGAGGCTGACATCAGATGTCTTCCTCATGTTCTTTTATTTTTTGAGATAAGGTCTCTCACTGAACCTAAAGCTCACCAATTTGGCTGGACTGACCAGCAAGAAGACCCCAGGGATCCTACTCTCTCTGCCTCCCCAGCAATGGGTTGTATGCCACTGTGCTCAGCTTTTTTTTTTTTTTTTTTTTTAACATAAGTGCTGGATATTGAACTCATGTCTTCGTGCTTGCATAACAAGCTCTTTACTGACCCGGCTCTCTCTAGCCCCAATTTTTAAAAAATTGCTGGGACTGAAGAGATAGCTAAAGAGTTTAAGAGCACTAGCTGTTCTTACAGAGGACCTAGGTTTGGCTCCCAGCACCCACATGGTAGCTAACTACTATTAACTCCAATTCCAAAGGATGGATGTGGTGCACTTATATAACATACATGTAAGCAAAACACTTATAAAATATAAATAAATAATTTAAAATAACTATTATATTTTGTTGCCCTGTAGATTATGGTCAGAATTTCAGACTCTTTCCTAAGAGCGATGGAAAATCTTTAAGAAGTTTTAGAGCAAAGAATGGCATGATTAGAATTTAATGTTTAGGGGCTAGAGAAATGGCTCAGCAGTTAAGAGCACTGGGTGCTCTTGCAGAGGACTCAGGTTTGGTTCCCATCACCTACATGGTGACTAACAGCCTTCCCTAACTCTATCTAGTTCTAGGGGATCCGATGCCCTCTTCTGGCCTCTGAGGGCACTGCACAACATGGGTGCACTTATATACATGTAGGCAAGACACTCATACGCATTTAAAAATAAAAATCAAAAAAATCAGAGCTTAATTTTTAAAGCCAGGCGTGTTTCTGCATGCCTGTAATTCAAGCACTTGGGAAGCAGGGACAGAAGGATTGTGAGTTGTAAGCCAATCTAGGATACATAGTGAGACCCTGTCTCAAAAGAAAATTAGTATGTGTGTGCATCATGTATGCATGTTTGTATATTGTGTGTGCAGGTGTGCATATGTGAAGGCCAGGATGTCTTTGTCTTCTCAGTTGCTCTCTGCTTTATTCCTTGGAAACAGGGTCTCTTACTGAACATGACGCTAACCAGTTTTTCAGCTAGGCTGGCCACTAGTAAGCCCAAGGGATCTTATAGTCCTGGGTTATAGACATGCATGACCACATCTATCTAGTTTTTTACATGGGATCTGAACTCAGGTCCTCATGCCTACACAGCAAGTGTTTCTTACCCACTGAGCCATCTCCCCAGGACCCAAAATTAATTTGTATAAGATCCCTCAACCTTCCATAGGGAGATTGGATGGAGCCTGAGTGTTTGTGAGAAGTAGATCTTTTAGGAGTCATGAGGGCTTGCACAAATAAGAGATGGTAAAGACTTGGATTACAGTTCTGGCAAGTGATGTGAGGAATGGAAATTTGAGAGATGTATGATGCTGTAGTGGTTTAGCTATGAGAAGGAAGGACTTAGGGAAGCTCCTTGGTTTCTGTTTGAGCAAATGTGTGAACGATTCCACTGCCTACTTTCTGCATACTAAATATGCCTGATGCCCACTGCACCACTGTCTTTCCTCATTTGCCACAGCTGATCTGTTATTCTAATGTTTCCTTGTGAGATTATGTATTCTATAAAGGCAGGAACCGTGTTCCTCTTGTTATGTACCCAGCACAGAACCTGGGCTAAACACTCAATGAATGACAGACATGTGGGAACCCTACCTTAAATGTCCTTGTAAAACATGCTAAAGAACTTCGATTTGGTTATAAAGTCCTAGGAGTTTTTGAAGAAAGTGAGTGGCATAGTTTATACTCACTCTGACCTGTTGTACATGATGTCTCTTTTTGTTTTTTTTTTCAGTTCTGGGGATCAAAACCAGGACCTGGAGCTTGCTACACACTCATTTTACCACTGAACTACATCCCTAGTAAATGTAGTTTTTGTTTCTCTGTTTGTTTGGTTTTGGTATTGATACGGGGCCACATTATGTAACTTAGGCTGGCTTTGACTTGACTCTATAATTCAAACTGACCTCAGACTCTCAATTCTCATGTCTCTGTGTCTAGCATCCATAGTGCTGGGATTATAAGCATACATCACCACCCCAGCCGCAGAATGGCTATAAGTGGAAGTCTGGGGAAAACATCACCAAGATATAGAGCTTCCTAGTGAAGACAGTCAACATTCATTTTGCCTCTACTTCAAATTCTACTAAAACCACAATGTAAGGGTTATTTTTAAAACTTAGAGCATAAACCTAAAACTGCTAAAAGTATCAATATCAACATTTTGGAAGTTGTAAGGAGATACCTTACTGATTAAATATTCCCATACTCTAAGGCAATACAAAAAAAAATACCCTCATCTAGCAGAAAGGAAAACCTCAAATTACAGAATCTTCCAAAAGACTTGGAGTTGGAGATACCAAGTACCTTTATTTTTTGAGAATTCCTTCCCTGAGGAGATGTAAACAATGTCTGCCCCTCCTCGTAAGATTACAAGGACAAACCAAAGCATGATTTAACCAAAGTTCAGCCTGTAGAATCAATGGGTTCATTGGGCCTACTTACAGAGCATGAGTGAAGGATCATGGATGACCCTTAACTACCTGCAGGATCGTGGATGACCATAAACCACCGTGCTGAAAAGTCTGCATCCAGCATGAATGATGGCTTTCCCTTAAGCTGCATAGGCAGAGCTCTCTTCCATACTCTAAGGCAATACAAAAAAAATACCCTCATCTAGCAGAAAGGAAAACCTCAAATTACAGAATCTTCCAAAAGACTTGGAATTGGAGATACCAAGTACCTTTATTTTGTGAGAATTCCTTCCCTGAGGAGATGTAAACAATGTCTGCCCCTCCTCGTAAGATTACAAGGACAAACCAAAGCATGATTTAACCAAAGTTCAGCCTGTAGAATCAATGGGTTCATTGGGCCTACTTACAGAGCATGAGTGAAGGATCATGGATGACCCTTAACTACCTGCAGGATCGTGGATGACCATAAACCACCATGCTGAAAAGTCTGCATCCAGCATGAATGATGGCTTTCCCTTAAGCTGCATAGGCAGAGCTCTCTTCAGTTAACCTGACCCAGCCTATATATTCTAGCACCTCTAGAGACCTTGAAGCCATATGCACCTAGAGTAGAATTGCATATACATGGCTTAGAGGTATGGCTGGACTCTCTGGTGAGGATCCAGTGACCCTCCCATCCTTCTCTTCTATAACAGAATGTCAACCATCAAGAAGCCTGTTTGTGATGGACTTTTACAATCAGGCACAGAGGACATGATGAAGGTGGCAGCTACTTTGCTCAGAGGACTCTACAATACTCCACCCATTTCTCTGGCTCTTCCATTCTACAACACTTTATAAGTTAGGAGGGAAAGGCAGTTAAAGTGGTAGGAACTGGTTGAAGTCTATTTAAGAAGCATGTGCCCAGTGGTAGAGTACATTCCTAGGATATGTGGAGCCAGAGGTGAGTGCGGGAATCCTAAAATCCCCACCAGGTTTAGTACAACCAAGTGAGTGCTTCTTTCCCACTCTAGAAAAATAAAAGGTTTATTCTCCAGAGTGATTAAAACAGTAATATCTTTAAAAGAAGATTTATTTGAATTATGTGTATGGGGGGGGAGTGCACTTGTGTGCAGGTGCCCTCAGAGGCCAGAAAAGGGCCTCAGTCCCCTGAAGCTGGAGTTACAGATAGTTGTAAGCTACCCAATGAGGCTGCTGGGAACCAAACTTGGGTCCTCTGCAAGAGCAGCAAGTACTCTTAATCCTTGAGCCATCTCTCTATTCCCAGAAACAGCAGTGTCTTAGGACTTGGGGACACCAGATAATTCAAAGTGTGTGTATAACTGTTCTGAATACTGGAAGATTGGGTAGATTCGTATGCCAAATACTGATGCCTGGTTGTCTTTCCTCCTGATTCCAGGGCATTGGCAGTCAAGACCTGGAGAATCTTCTATGAGAACAATGGCTAATTCTAGAGAAATTATAGAATTATCTGATGTCCAAAAATCCCTAAACTAATGCCCAGCCAGATCACTTTACAGCAGTAGTTCTCAATTGGGCTCAATCTTGACTTCTCCCCTTACATTAGATGCTTCTGACAATGTCTACAGACATTTGTGGTTGTTACAACTAGAGAGCTGCTACTGAAATTGTTGGGTAGAAGCTGAGGATGCTACTAACTACTCTGCAGTGCCTATGTCAGAACCCCTTCGTTCCTTGGAACTAAAAATTTATCTGGTCCCAAACATCACTAAGGGCAGAGTCTGAGAAATCCTGATTTAGAGTAAAGCTCACAGTTTGCAAGCCAGCCCCAGTCAGGCTTGAAGTCTACCTGATGACTTTATATCCATACACAGGTGCCAAGGATCCAAGTGCAACCGAACATGACTAGCAATAATCAGATACATACAGATTAGAGATGCATGCGCCAACACCTAAGTGTTATTAGGAAAAACAATGAGTCTTTCTGTAAGAAACAGTATATTTTAAAATGAAATGGAGATCTTTTCTAAAGTTTAAAAAATCATTCAATTTTATGTCTTACAGGGTTTATACTGAGTTCAATATTGTATAACTGTATTAATTCAACTGTAAACCTAAAAATTTTATAGCCACTTCTGAAAGAGACATCTCTTTGCTCTGGAAATTGAGTATGTTAAAGCTGTAATGAAATGCTTCTTCTAAAAATAAATAAATAAAATGCAAATGGGTAACTTATTCAAAATTAAATGATGCTGAGCTGGATGTGGTGTCTCACACCTATAGTCCCAGCATTCAGGAGGCAGAGGCAGGGGGATCTCTCTGAGATTAAAGTCAGTCTGGACTATATAGTGAGTTCTAGGCCAGCTGGGGCTACAAGGAGAAGTATTCAAAAAGACCAAAAAAAAATTAAATTAAAAATTAAATGATGTGTCTCAAGCAGGGTTCATAGTGAGAGTGCCTGCCTGCTGGTGGGAACACTGAAGGAAAACAGGAGTATGACTGTTGGAGGGGAGGGAAAGCAGTTCTGGGCTCACAGCTTGAACAACAGGATAGAAGCAGATGCCATTTTCCCAGAGATGGGAATTAAACACAGGGACGCTGAATTCCTTTCCTTCCTCACTGACCTGAGGATCAGGTGGCTGTGGAAATCCAGCAGGTGTTTGGACATGTGGGACTGAGCTGAGCAGAAAAGGTCACATGGAGAATGGAATTGAAGCCAATTGGAATTGTAGTACAGTGAACAGGCCTGAGAGTGACCTGAGTGGGCCATTCAGGGTGCGAGGGAGAATGAGCTCATGGTGGCTGGGGCTTCCCCCTTGTCCCAGGAAAGGTACTGCACTCAAACTCAGGTTCTCATGGGACCAGTACAGTAGAAACTGACATTCTAGGGATAGCTGACATTTCCGGGCAGCTATAAACCATGGGCACTCGGCATACAAACTGCAGTACCTCTGTATATCCTTTGATAAACTGCTTCTTCATACTTGCCTTATAAGAAGGGGACATGGTCTTTTTCCTGGGACCCAGCAGTTCCCTGGTGCTCAGCTCATCTCACCATCAGCTAGTAGGACAGAGAGTCTACCACTTTTCTTTTTTTCCTTGCTATCTTGGCCCTGTAGGAATGACTTTTACAATATGGGCATAATCTGAACTAATGACTTTTACTTAACCTTGTAACCAAAAAGTTTCTGTTTATAATGTAAACAAGCTCACTGAGCCATGTCTTATGACCCAGGCACCTGACCTATATCCCCCAGGACCCCATTTTGCCCTCCATCCAAGATAGTGAATGAATGTGAGTGTGCTTGATTAGCATATCAAAATGCTGGAAGCAGCAGCATGTTATTCTCATTGCAAACATTGAAAAGAATTGAGAAGTCTGTCTGAAATTGAGCATGGGAGATGTTTTAGGACAAGGGATTGAAGGTCCAGATTCTCTGATGAGGGTGGATCCTAGCTTCTACTTCCCCAATTCATGCTGGAGATACTGCTTGAATATGAGAATGAGGGAAGCCTGGCTCAGGAGCACAGTTCTTGAGACAGCTGAAGGAACAGGCTCCCAGAGTTCCCTTCCACTCTTGGCCTTAAGATGAATGTGAAGAGTCAGCTGTTTCTTTCTTCAGGTATAACCTTAATGTGGCTCAGAAAACACCACAGGCCCTGCACATTTTTGTTTTCCCCCATGAAGCTCATTCCTTAGCTCATGCTGTGTATTTTTGTGGACACCCAGAAGGGTAACAGCAGTTGAAAATCCATATGATACCCGTCTTGTGCGCCAATGGGGATACACTGCTAGCATAGCAGCCTCCTGACTGATCTCTCAGGATTTATGGAAACTTTCCAATTCATTCTTCACCCTGTGGCTAGCATGAGTCTTCCTAAACAAACCCATTCACTCACCCACCTTCCCAGGACAATGCAATTTAATAGTTCCAGTAACTTCCCATTGGTTTTGAACTAAGCTAAAGTACCAGGATCTTTAATATGGCTTAGTGATCCTAACATGACATGGCCTTGCTTTCTCCCCAGCCTTATCTTTCATTGCTCTTTCGTCTCTGAACCTCAGCCAAACACTTCACTCACGTGTAGCAAACCTGTTCCCTCTTGCTCTTGGACATGTCCTATGCCCTCTATCTGAAATGTTCTGTTTTGCCTAACTCCAAGTGCTAGTCACAGTCCCAGAGCATCATGAAGCAAATGAAAATTTATATATGATTATTTGGTCATGTTTTTCTCCACTAGACTACAAGTGCTACTCATTCTATATTATACTTTAATTATTCATAGGAAGATTTTTTATTACCTTATTAGTGTTTAAATATATTTTCTGGACTCTTTGGTCACCCGTAGCCTAATTTATATGTATAGTGTTTGGCATTAAGCAGGTACTTAATAAACATTAAACAAATGCTTGGAATAGGTACATATGCACAAATGCATTGTACATAGGTACAATGTAAAAAATACAGACCTCAGTATCACACGTGGTATGATTATTTTTCTATGAAATGTCTGGGAAAGGCAGATATATACATGTAGGTTAGTGGTTACCGGGGACTGGGGTTGGAAGGAGTGGCTATAAACTGGCATAGATTTTACTGAGGTGATGAAAACACTTTAAAATTGCACAATTCAGTCAATTTACTAAAATCACTGTATTATACATGTCAAATGGGTAAAATTTATAGTGTGCATATATCGTAATAAAGGTGTGGTAGTTTGAATGAGAATGTCCTCCCATAGGCTCCAAATATTTGAATACTTGGCCCCAGCTGGAGGCGCTGTTTGCAGAGGTTTAGGAGGTGTGGCCTTGCTGGAGGAAGCGGGTCACTGGGGTGGGCTTGGAGAGTTCATCACCTTGCCCTCTTCCAGTTTCACTCTCTGACTCCTGTGCCTGCTTGAAGATGTGTGTTCTCACCTATCTGCTCTGGCTGCCTCCTACCATGCGTTTCTGCTGTGATGGACCCTTATCCATCTGGAACCACAAATCCAAATAAACTCTTCCTTCTATAAGTTGCCTTGGTCATGGTGTTTTATCACAAAAACAGAAAAGTAACTAATACAAGGTTTTTAAAACTTTTTTGTGTGTGTTGAGTAAAGGAAAGAATGTAGTTATTACTGGTTATAGGACTTTTTTGTAACTTTTTAATTGAATTTTTGTGTCTTTCATACAGAACATCTTAATCAGTCAATCATTTTTATACCTGCTTCTCCATTGGCACCATCCTATAGGCCCCTCTCCTATCCCACTGGAATTCATACATTCTGTAATTTGTATTAAGGCCTACTGTGTCAAATTAGTATTCCCAGACGTCCCTCAGTACAAGTTCATCCACTGGGGTCTAGGTAGCCTATCTAGAGTCCTTCCCTTTAAGAAATTCAGCTCTACCTAACCTAGCAGCAATCACCTGCCAATAATTCTTCGAGTAAGATTGGAGCCTGCTGCCCATTTCCACAGTTCTGTGCTGGGGTTTTGTCTGCTTGAGTTTGCATGGGTCTTGTGCATACTAACATCATTGCTGGAGGTTTGTATGAGCAAGGACCCAGGAGCCTGTAGGACTCTATTTGCATATGGCCATGCACCTCCTTGGTGGTTCTTAAAATCTTTCTGCCCCCTCTTCTGCAGTGGTCCCTGAACCATGGGTAGGTGGAATTTAATATGAGTCCTTCCAAGGACCCACACTCTGCTGACTCTTACTTTCCATGCTTTGGCTCTTTGTTACCTTTTGTGGCCCTCTGTTGCATGAGGGCGCTTCATTGATGAGAGAAAAGGTGTATTAGTGTCCTCTTTACCCCTTGTTCTATGTTCTATGAGTATGCTGGATAGCTTTATTGTCAGCTTGACACACCTGGGTTGAGGGACCCTCAAATGGGGAATTTCCTCTATTGGCCTGGCCTGTGGCCATGTCTATGGGGGAATTTTCTTGATTGTTGAGCGATGTGGGAAGCCCCAGCCCACTGTGGGTGGTACCTTCCCTGGGCAGGTGGGCCTATGTTGTATAAGAAAAGTTGAGCATGGGCCAGGGAAGCAAGCCAGTAAGCAGCGTTTCTCCATGGCCTGTGCTCCAGCTCCTACTTCCAGGTTCCTGCCCTGAGATCCTAACTTGGGCTCCCTGATGAACTTTGACCTGGGAGATGTAAGCTGAACAAACCCTTCCTTCCCCAAGTTGGTATTGGTCAGAGTATTTTGTCACAGCAATGGAGAAACAAACAAGAACAAGGAGCCTGGTTATGGGACTTTTATCTTGTGCTAGGTGTATGTACGTATTTCTGAACTTGATATTCTATGTCACTCTATATTTAAATATTATTCATAGGTAGACATTTTAATGCCTTATTAGTATCTTGAATATATTTCTGGACTCTTCTAATCCTTGATTTGAAACAATTGGGCTTGATACGCTACACATGTGACTATGTGACTCTCTCTATACCTTTGGCTAAGAAGAAATTGATACAAAGAAAGTCCATTGTGGAAATTGGATTTGGGATGTCTAGAAAGGACATATGATAGGGACCAAGTGTCCTTCACATATAAGAACATTTCCAATACTGATCTGGAAACTTTACGATGGCTCTGGATCCTTGCTGATTTCAAGAATAAGACACAGTATTGGGATGGGAAAGGTTTTAAAAGTAATCTGAATTTTAGGATTAATAATGTCAATTCAAATGCCCCAGATCCAAAGCCCCAGAACCTCTTCAGTAGCCTCTGATCTCCCTGCCCAGCTCCCAGCACCCTTCTGGGCAGGCTGTGAGCATTTTAGCTCGTGTCCTGAGAGGCAGCCCAGGCAAGAACACTAGACAAGTATATGACATATGAAACAGCACTGGGTGATGGCGTAGGAAAGATAAGGAATGAGTAAATGCTGGTAGAAAGCAGATCCGGGCTGGGGGTGTAGCTCAGTGATAGAGTGCTTGTAGTACCAGCTTGTACAGGCCCCTGAGTTCAAACCCAGAAACACACACAGAGTAACTAAAATTCCTTCTGGAGGGGTGTAAACAACATCTGTCCCCTCCTCCCTTGGTCCTGATGATAAAAAAACACCAAGGTAGAAACAATTTCACCAAACTGCAGACTGGGAAAACAGTTTATTGCGTGAGGGTTTGCTTAACAGGAATGTGAGTACTCCCTCCCTAAGGCCAGACTAAGGTTTTTCTAACCTATACACACTTAGCCCCTCCCCCAAGCCTTGTGCAACTAGGGCCAACTGGTTGGTTTGGAGGTGTGGCTGAACTCATAGGTGAGGGTCCTGTGAGTCTCCCTGCCCCTCCCTTCCTTGCTGGGGCATGAACAGTTAACAAACTCAGCTGTGATAATCTTAGGCAAGCTTGGGAAGATGGCATCTGTTTGTCAGAGGACAGTCCTATTCCCCCCTCCGCCACACACACACACACAAGGAGTTCCTCCTGTGGGTAGTCCAGCCCAGGAACCTGTTCCACCCTGAGGCTGGGACACTCATAAGCTAACTGCTGCCTCCTTTGGTTCCATTTTTCAATAACATACTCAGCGCAGCTTCATATAAATTTTTTTTATTAGTGAAACATTTCATTGCATTAAGGGTAGAAATAAACCAGGTCAAGAATCACATGAAATGAACCAACTATATAAGCTATGTGAAGAACATTCTGGTCAGTCTTTTTAAAGTTAGGCACAAGCAATTTACACCAGTAACAGTGCCCAGAGGGCTTTTTGCTGAATTCACATCTTAAACAATTTAAGTTAAAAATTAGCCTCCCTTAAGTAAAAACCCCAATAGGGGTTAGTTGTATAGTGCTTGTTCTACTTGACCATTAGTGATCCTTCTAGAACACAAGCAGATACAAATAACGTCTGCTGGGAAAAACCTGGCACTAAAGTGGCAAAGCCCATTTCTTGTACTGCTCTCAGCTCCCTCTTCTCCCTGCCTGCCATTCAGTGATGTGAGGATCACAAAGGCTTTGGGGCCTTTCCAGGATGGCTGCAAATGAATGAATACAAAGACCAGCTTGCGATTTTCAACCCCAAAGCAAATGGGCACATGTACTCTCTTAGCCAACCTATAATTCTGACTGCAGTTTATGCGTTTGCCATAGACCTTGTCTTCAGAAGAAGGAGACTATCAAATGTGATTTTTGAGCCATCATTATTAAGAACCATGGCACAAATATAGAATTAATATGTTTGTGTCTCCTTGTCTATGTGAGAGTCAATCTAATATGTAAATCATTAGCTGGTATAATCTAAAAAAATCTCCTTCTCAGAGATTATTATATCCTGAAAATAGGAATGAACCAATTAGTATGCACTAGCTTATCAGTTTATTAGTGTGGGTAAGTAGTTGCATAAAGACATCAATCCCAGTACTTGGGAGGCTGAGACATGAATTCAAGGTCAGCCTATGCTACATAGTGAATTCCAAACCAGCCTGGGCTACAGGGTGAAACCCTGTCTCAAAAAACAACCTAATGAAAAAAAAAAGTTGATGAATAAGGAAAAACATGCCAATTATCTGGTTAAATATTGATAACTTCTAAAAATATAGAAATTTGTCACTATTAAAGATCAAATATTTTAAATTTAGTTTTCACATTTTGATGATTTAGAGTATCTACTATTTCTACTTTGACATATAGGAAAGTTGAGAGTTCAATGAATTATCTCTTCAAGAAGGGAAACATCACATATTGCTTTAGTATCAACAGAAGAAAAATTGTGGCTTATAAATGAAAGCTATCTAATACTTCAAACATGGATAAGTGAAATCTCTGATTTAAAAAATTTTTGCTTACATTGAAATTCAGTTTTAAACAATAAAATTCAGTTGTTAGGAAATTCTGTACCCACTTGTCCAGATAACATATAGGATTTCTCATTAAAAATGAATGGTGGGTGAGACATGGTGGTGCACACCTTTAATCCCAGCACTGAGGAAGCAGAGGCAGGCGGATCTCTGTGAGTTTGAGGCCAGTCTAGTCTACATAGTGAATTCCAGGCCAGCCAGGGGACCCTGTCTCAAAAAATAAAATAAAATAAAATAAAAAGATGGTGGACTTTGAGACTTGTAAGACAATGCCCTTCAATATGTTAACGTCTGACAACAATGACACAGGGATGGCTCCCAGTCATCTGCCTCTACTGGAAGCCAGGAATCTTCTGAAGGGAAGTAGCTTCACTTCTGGTTCCAGGACCCCCTTCTCTGAAATACTTCTACGTAGTACTTCAAATATGTCATTCTGTCAGAAAACGATTGTCACAGAAAATACAGGGCACATTTTTCTGTATTTAGTGAGTAACAGTGAGCCAAACACTGGCTGGGACTGAATCTGATGAAAGCACTTACAGAAACAACTTCAAAGTCACCAAGAAGACTGTTCAGAAGAAATACCTCTCTAATCCAGGCGCATTTTCTGAATCTATATGTAATTTAGGCTATGGGAGGATGGCCTTCCTTATGATCATAATCTTATAAATAATCTCTCATATTTGGCAGTCACCATCACTCTGTATCAGCATCACATTGGCAGAGATGGACTTGGGGGACAAGTCATTGATAGCATTCTCCCAGAAGCATGTTTCTACATCATGATGATTTTGACAAAAAAAGACAGTTAATAATCTACAAATGTCTATTCTACATGAAATATCTGTTCTTACTCTCACCAACATCATTTATGTATCCTCTTTATTCACAAAAATACAACTTAAAAATCCTTAGGAGCTTATCTCGATCTACTCTTGGGTACCACCCTACCTCATCCCTTCCCCACTTGATTCCTATCCACTATAAAAATAGTCAAAAGACTGAGCAATTTTCCTGAAGGAATTATGAACTTAAGATTAGGATGAAATGCAACATGTAATTTTTTTAATATATGTAATGTTTTAAAGAAGGAAATCAGATGCATCTACATGATATATTGGATGAGGCTATTGTTTTTACCCTGGGTTCCAAACTCTTTCCTTCTGTTTAGAGATGAATGGAGGAATATAGCATAAAGCCACATATATGTATTTTGAACACAAATTTTGGTGAATGAAGCATAGTGAATGAGGTTAGACCAAGTAGCATTAACAAGTGATGCAGACATTGTATCTATAACAGTGGTCACAAAATTTTATAGCAGCTCCCAGAGCCCAACAACAAAAAGTTTCTGTACAATAGTTTATTAAATACTCCCTAGACACATGAAAACAATTTCAGAGACCACACGGTTTTATAAAGCATAAAGTCTACATCTTTATATAATGGCCTGTTCTTTACCCTCTGGCCAGAATGTTCTTCTCACTTGCAGGCACCGTAGCTTAGCCTGTGAGGATGCGGGGTTTCCCCTGTTCTGGTCCAGGTCAGGGCAGCTCACACGTTCTCTCACCAAGCTCAGGTGACAGCTAAGTTCTCTTAGGTTCGTATGAGGGGTGCTCTTTCATCTGCTGTTCCCTGAGACACGCAGGACAGACAGAAGATGCAGTTAGATGTTCATTCAGAAACTTCTCCCCCAGTGTGAAAAGTGGAGGCAAGGTGGGGAGTGAAGAAGCGGGAAGGAGGAAAAGCTGACAGGAAGGCAGTTCACCTCACCTATTTATGGGACTGTGTGGCCTAACCCTCTTAACGGCCCACTTTGTCCTCTCCGACCTCCAGACCCTAGCTGCACCCTTCCTTCTCTGTATCGGTAGGACTATAACACAGCATCCTCAACTGAACTGGCCTCTGTCCTGGTTTGTAACCTACCAGAGAGCAGTGGCACAGAGGCAGTAGATGCTCCGTAATGCTTGCTGAAGACACTAAAATGGTTAATTATAGGGGCACTAATTAACATTTTGGGGAGGTATATTTGTACTTAGGAGAATCTCAGTGATGGTACAAACTCAGTCCCACAGATCCATAGATAGGAATGGTCAGAGAGTTTGCAGTGGCTAATTCAGGCTAGTGTGACTAGCATGGGTTAATGACACAAAAAATGTGAAAGGTAGAGTAATCTAAGCCAGTATTACTGAAATGGTTTCAACTAGTTTCATTTCCCATTTCCCATTTTCTTAGTTTAGGAGGGTAACTGAAGGGAAAAGCACTGTGAAAACAGAAACTGCTGAGAATTTAAGAAGGGTGTTGAAGCCAGGTCTGGTGGTTCAGGTCTGTAATCCTGGCCACTTAGGAAGCAGGAGGACCACAAGTTCAAAGACTGCCCTGATACAGAGCAAGTTCAATGTCAGCCTGATCAACTTAGAGAGACTTTACTTAAAAACAAAGACTTGTTTTTGTTCTTAAAGAGTAGGACTATACCTCAGTGGTAGAGCTCTTGCCTAGCATGTGCAAGGCCCTTTTTAAAAAAATATATATTTTGTTATTTTTATATGTGTATGAGTGTATTGCCTGCATGTATGTGAGTGCACTCCTGTCGTGCAATGGTGCAGATGTCAGAAGAGGGCTTCAAGTTCCCCTAGAAGTGGAGTTAAGGGCGGTTTGTAGCCGCCATGTGGGTGCTGAGAATCGAACCTGGGTCCTCTGCAAGAGCAGTCAGTGCTCTTAACCGCTGAGCCATCTCTCCAGCCCCATCTAAACCAAATTTTAGAAGAGGTCTTGAATAATTTGATATCCTTTGTGTTTCTTCTACACATGAACAACTTGAATCTAGAAAATATTAAGTAAGAATGAGTACACAAGGCCCTTTGTTTAACCTCTAATACCACAAAAAAATAGAAGAGTTTTCACAGAAAAGGGTCATGTGGGATATTCAGCTCTCTGAGTTGGTTTACTGCATTCCTCCCAGAAAGTAATGACTCCATGTGCCAATCTTTTACCATGCTATGGTGCCTCAATCAGAGCACCTTCTGATGCATCAGGGATTCTTTCTAAGCAGGTATCTGTACAATATTGAAATTTTTTATCATATCTAATAATTAAGTTTACTGAGCTCTTATTACAAATCAACACTGGATCAAGACTGTTATGTTTTCTATATCAACCAATCCTCTCCAAAACCTCAGAAGGGGACCCTATTATCTTTCCACTTTATAGATGATAGAATTAAGGCTCTTTCTAGAGTCATATAGCTGTTTAATGGCAGAAGGAAGATTTTAATCTAGGCAGTCCAACACAAAAGCCCAGGTATAATGATTTTGCAGTCTTCCTATGTCCTGTTATTGCTTTCAAAGATGTAAAGTTACCTCCTGTGGGATATATCCAGGGATTTCATACCAACCAAGAGAGCCTCAAATACCAAAAGGCACCATTCTATCACCCTGCCTTTCTTGACATATACCTGCCCTGCTTACCCTTGGTCCAGCAGTAACAGAACCATAAAAATCACTGCGTGCCCCACCTCTGCATAAAATTCCAGTATCTATCCAAAGGAGCTAGCTGCAGTCTAATAAAGCACACTGAGGAATTCTTCAAGTAAAATTACAAATAAGAGAGGAGTTCCTCTGCCAGTACTCACCTCATCCATGGATCCCTGTCCTCGGCACGCAAGCCACGTGAAGATCAAGCCAAAGAACACACCCAGTGCCATGATGATGTAGGGTATGTTGGTGACAATCAAAGTAGTGTTAATCACAGACTTTAGTCGCCTTGCGGTCTCTTTATCAATGAGAACACTCTGGGGGAGCAAGAAATAATATTCCCTTGAGGACTAAATATCCAAAGTGTATGTGTGTGTACACAAAATATGTATATATGTTCTTCTTTCAAATCACAAAATACAATGTGCTTATATCCTATTATTAGGAAGTCAGATATATTGAAAATTCACTTATAAATTAGAAAAACCAAAGAGGGAATTTACTCATTAATATATATTTGCCACATTCTGTGGCACTATTTTGTTTTTGAATATATATATATATATACATATATATATTTCTTGAGACAAAGAGTCACTATGCCTCCCTAGCTGGGCTGGAACTCACTATGTAGACCAGGCTGGCTTTGAACCCACAGAGATCCACCTACCTCTACTTCCTGAGTGCTGGGATTAAAGCACCACACCCAGTATTTTGGTCTTTTTTTGAGCCAGGGTCTTGCTATGTAGCTCTGGCTGGCTTGGAACTCATTCTATACAGCAGGCTGCCCTTGAACTTGTGGCAGTCCTGCCTCTGCCCCTAAAGTGCTGAGATCATAAGTATGCACAACCAAACCCAGCTGCTTGTGGGTTTATTTTATTTTTTATGTGGCACGATTTTGAAGGCTCTAGAGCCTTTAGGAGAGGGAGGCTGGCTGGAGGAGGTAACTTACTAGGGCAGGACTTTGAAAGTTATACCAACCCCTAGCTCTGGCCTGCTCTCTCTGCTTCCTGATCTAACTGTGATATGAGGAGTCTCAGCCACATGCTCTGGCCTCCAGCCACCTTACCATGATGAACTCAAGTCTTTCTGAAATCATGAGCCAAAATAAACCTTTCTTCCCTTAAACTGTTTCTGCCAGGTATTTTGGTCAGGACACAAAAATAACCAGTATCTCTTATTTTAGATCGGACAATTGCTTAAAAATTCAGCTCTGCAGCCAGGCATGGTGGCGCACGCCTTTAATCCCAGCACTCGGGAGGCAGAGGCAGGCAAATATCTGTGAGTTCAAGGCCAGTCTGGTCTATATAGTGAGTTCCAGGACAGCTGGGGGTACAGGGAGACCCTTTCTCAAAAAGACAAAAAAAAAAAAAAAATCAGCTCTGCATAACTCCCTTCCAGAAGTATCTCTGGCTACCTCAGGGCTGATGGAAGGCTCCTTCTCTGCACTTTCACTGTATTCTCTGGAACCTCATTTGTTGTCCTTGTACCCAGCATAATTGTTTACCTGTTTATCTCCCATTGACTGTGATTTCCTTGAAGGCAAGACATCGTGGCCACCTCTACACTGGGTATAGCACCCAGCACACAGAAGGTGCTTAATTAATACTGGTTGATTAAATGAATGAAGCACTACAAGAACAGTATGTGGACAGTTATCACTTCTCTGTGGATTCCTGTAGTCACTAGTCTCAATGAAAAGTGTTCAGATGAGTTGTGAAGCTAATCAGAATTTGAGACAGAATTCCTAACTGAAGAAACACACTAACTTCAGAGTGAGAGCAGAGGTTTCATCACTTGGAGCAATGGGTGAATGATGCGTAAAAACTGTGAGCAATGACTCTGGCTTAGTTTGCACTGGCCTGATGGGGTTTGGGTTCTGTGGCAGTTCTTTCGATAATTGTCAAGGCTCTGTACGGAGCTTCCTCTAGGGTAAAAAGATGTGGGGTCAGCAGTCTCCAAGGTCACTTCCAGGCCTAGTATTTCATTTTTCCGAGTGAAAAATCAAGCTCTTTCTAGAGGACAATAGAGCACAAGAGTTCACTCCATGATCCTGGATTAAATCTAGTTTTTGACAAAATAGCAAAGCAAAAGCAGGGGGTAGAGAAGACTTCAAAAACGCCATGACTGGTGGCACAGGGCAATAACCATCAAGCCGAAGATGAGGCAGAAGCATCCTGAGTTTATGGCCAGCCTGGGCTACATTTGCCAAAAGAAACAAAACAAACAGAACAACCCCTCCCCCGCCCCTTAAACACTACTACAAACTCAAGTTGACCTGTCTGCATTTCCCCAAACTCCTATTTTCATGTCATCCCCCACCCCACAAACAATAGCAATGGGGAGGAAGAGCAAGCTACAAGTTCTGTGAGGTTTTTCCTAGGAAACAATAAAAGCCTTATCTTAGAATTGCCACCACAAACCCTTCAAAGACTTAGAAATGTGACCACCAATACAATGCTAGAATAAAGAAAAAATGATCCCAAACTTCATCTGCTTTATGATTTCAACCACACAGAACTGAAACTAGAAAAAGACCAGGAGGCAAAAAACCCAAAAGATGTCAGCTGCACCTGCCTCTGATGGTGATTTACTTAAGACTTCTTTTTTTCATCTACCAAGAGTTCTATAAAAGGCATAGGCTTTACAAAATATAAAACTTAAACCCTTTTTAAGTTGTCATTAGGGAAAAAAATTTACAAGACACTGAGTAAAATTTAAAAATTTGAAAGTAAGCATGCTGGGCACAAGTCTGTAACACTAGCACTTGGCAGATGGAGGGAAGAGGACTTGGAGTTTAAGGCCAGTCTGGGCTACATAGCAAGACAGAATCTACATAAATAAATAATGAAAAACACTATATAAAGATGACTACATTTTATTAGTGATTTTAATATTTCCTTTTCTTGCTCATCTGTTACTAATTTTTCTACAAAAAGTATTTTGAGGGAACAGAGGAAAAAATAAGAACTTAAAAAAAATGTTCTTGAGGCTGGAGAGATGATTCAGTGGTTAAGAGCACTGACTGCTCTTGCAGAGGACCCAGGTTCAATTCTCAGCACCCACGCGGCAGTTAGGAACTGTCTGTAACTCTGGTTCCAGTGATTCTGATGCCCTCTTCTGACCTCCATGGGCATTGCATGGCACAGGTGCACATACATATATGCAAACAATATTCATACACAAAAAACAAAAATAAATGTTCTCGTTAGTAACAGAAGCCTGCCAACTGAGAATTTATTGGAGAAAATTTGCATTTCCCTCCCTTCACACTGGGTGGAAGAGAAGAGATAACCATAGTAGATCTGGTATGTGATTTTTATCACATTCTCTTAAATAGCAAGGCTTCAAGGAAAAAAGAATGGCTTCATGGGACAGCTGTCTGAGTGTTGGCTGTTTATCTCAGTTCTCCAGAGCTTGGCAGTGATTTCCTCCACCTTTGCATCTTGTTTCTCACATAACCAGCACCTCAGAAGGGAATTTTATTCAACTAGTGTTCTTGAGAAGGAAGATTTCCTGTCATTTTCCAAATCAGCTCCCAGACATGTGAAGCAGTTTTGCATAAGCATTGAAGAAAGATTTTGAGGGGGTCAACTCATATTTTAAACAGTCATCTTTCCCCCTTTTCATATCTTAAATGACACATGGTTACCATAGTAGATGTCATAATGGAAATGTTCCACGCTTGGACACTGTGGCTCCCTCCCTCTCAGGACTTACCTCATTGAGAAACATCACTGGGAAAACCACGGTCCTAATGTTTCCTGTTTCACTACAAAGACAAAGATGGCATTATTTCACAGACATCCTTATCATGATATCTCTCACTTGGAAAGACACATTCACATGAAAATTCTAGAACATTCCCTGGAATTAATTGCAGGCTTCTTGGTTATCTTTGTAGACACATATAAATCAAATGAAGACTGCAATGTATCAGCTAACAATTCAAGCCTGCATGTTTATGTGGTATTTCATCAAAGTACAAGCAAATCCATCAAATGAGCACTGCTCACAGAGGATGACACCACTGTAACAAGCTGACGACTAGACCACCTACATACTGTCTTTGCAACAAGATCCCACTGACCACTTACCATTTGCCAGTTCTGTGTTCAGTGTTTGGGGGAGCATTATTTTAGTTAATTCTTACTGCAGTCACATGCCATAGGTAGTAGTATCAAGGTCCCCGGTTGATAGAGGAGGAAATTTACTCACAGAGATGGGTAATTTGCCCAGGATCACCATGAGTGAGCAGGAGAATCAGGATTGCAATTCTATTTGGGTCTAAGGTTCCAGCTCCTAACTACTAAGTTATACTGCTTCAGAAATACATATAACAAAAGATATTCCTGTAAACCATGCTTATTTCTTAGAAGGACCTTACAACATATGGGATTAAATTTGATGAGTTCAACGGGGGAAACAAATCAAGGCTTATAGATAGATGAATGATAGATAGAAAGATAGATGTGTAGATAGACAATATATGTGTAGTTTTATGTTTTTTCATTAACTATCCTCAGTATTTTCTCAGATTTAAGAAAATTCCCACTGAAAAGTCTGGGCAGGAGGTTATACTTAGGAATTCTAACTAAAGAGTGGCTTATGGATGGAACATAGGAAGAAAAGGCTGTATTCAAGGGTCTATTTTAACTGTCCAACTGAGAGCTCGTGGTAGTCAGCCCTCTTAGAGGGAGTAGGAAGAAAAGAGATGGAAACCAGGTCAAAGTTGGAGAGGGACAGGATACTAGGTGAATGGATAAAAGCAGACTGTATCCACACAGCCTATCTAGCTGTGTGAGTTCCAACAAGTTGCTTACTAATTCTCTGTGCCTCACATTCCTCATCTGTAAAATGAGGACAATACAAAGTTGTAAGTTGATGCATGTAAAGTGCTTAAAACAATGCATGATCCACGGAAAGAATTTGATTAATACAAGTCCTAAAAGGCACCTCTGAAAATGCTGATATGCATTGCTGAAGGACAAGCTGAGCTGTTAGAAATGGACTCTGTTCCCCCTAATACCAGCCCCCCAGAAACTCAATGAAGCAAAACTGGTCTCTGTCTCTGCAGAAAGATGCAACACTTACATAAAATCATCTAATTTTCTGACATAAACATTGATTTGGAATTTCTTGGCTGCTCTTAAGATAATTCCAGTCAACTGTAAATAAGAAGAGAGAAAAAAAATTAAGATTTTTTTTTTCATCCACCAACGTTTTCAATAGAACATCATTCTGTGTGGTTTTGACCCATAGGGGCCCATGGCTGTGTCTGGCAAGCAGAGTAATACAAGGGAAAACTGGTCCCCAAACAGAATGAGAAGTACTGATAGTGTTGCACAGCTAGGGCTTTCCTGTGAATATGAATCCTGGGAATTCTGCTAAAATGCAGACTCTGCCTGGTAGATCTGGAGTGGAGCATGAGATCAAGTATTTCTAACAAGGTCTCAGGATACTGCTACTTTATGGAGCAAAACCTGGAGGACTCCAGCACGGGGTGCAACCCACAAATCCCCTGTCAGATCTGCTGTCCAGAGCTAAGAGTACAATGGCACTGCCTGCTAGAGAATGATATCCAAGTCTAGGGCCCACATGCCTAAGTGAAGGAGGCACGGGGGCCATAGCTGCCCCCTAAGCAGCTCTGCTTTTGTACTACGGTTACAGAACTGGGCCCAGCCCTGGTGACAAATACCCCTCTGTTTGGCTAATGAAAGAGAACTGACTGATGACTAACAGAGAAGGAAAAGCATCACATCTGAGAGCTAGAGCTGTAGCTCAGTTGGTAGAGTGCTTACCTAGCATGTACAAAGCCCTGCATAAACCAGGCATGGTGGCATGCACCTGTAATCTCAACACTTGGAAGGTAGAGTCAGGAGGATCAAGCATTCAGAGTTGGGGCTGGAGGGATGGCTCAGTGGTTAAGAGCACTGGCTACTCTTCCAGAGGACCCAGGTTTGATTTCTAGCACCCACATGTTCTAGCTAACAACTTCCATATCTCCAGTTCTAGGGGATCTGACACCCTCTTCTGACCTTTGCAGACTTTGTACAACACAGATGCATTTATATACATGCAGGCAAAACACACATTAAAAAAAATAAAGAGTTTAGAGTCATTCTTGGCTACATGGTGAATTCAGGACCAGCCTGGGCTACCTGAGACCTTGTCCCAAACAAGAACAGCAACAAAAAGTCACACATGGCCTTATTTGTCAGTTCACAGACAGATCTGATGAGCACAGCTGAGCAAAATGAGGTGGTAAAAGAATGTTCTTGCTTTTTAAAAAAATATATTTTATTATTTTTATTTTATGAGTGTATTGCCTGCATGTATGTGAGTGCACCCATGTTGTGCAATGCTGCTGAAGTCAGAAGAGGGCTTCGGATTCCCCTGGAACTGGAGTTAAGGATGGACAGTTCATAGCTGCCATGTGGGTGCTGGGAATTGAACCCGGGTCCTCTACAAGAGCAGTCAGTGCTCTTAAGTGCTGAGCCATCTCTCCAGCCCATTTTTGCTTTTTCCAAAAAATTATTCTATGATGTTCAAAGTTTCAAGAATGAAAATATCTGACTTTTTTTTTTTCTTCAGTGCTGCAGATCAAACCCAGGTCCTTGTGCATACTAGGCAAATACTCTACCACTGAGTTATATCTCCAACCCCTTTTAACTTATTCCTTTGAGACAGGTTTACATTAAACTGCCCAGATTGGCCATGAACTTATGATCCTCCTGCTTCAGCCTCCTGGGCAGCTGTGATTACAGGCCTGTGCCACTAGGCTCAGCAAGATGTCTGACCTTTAACTTAACTTCTACAGTGGATTTTTGCACTGTCAAATGATACCCCATCATCTTAACATCTCTTCTGTGAATACAGGAGAAAAGTATATGCATATCTGATACTTCTTACATTAATAACAGCACATAGTAGTGCTCGCTTTGGCAGCAAACATACTAAAACTGGAACAATACAGAGAAGATTATCATATTTGTGAAGCATTCCGTAGGCTTTGATTTGTTTAAATAAATTCAGTAAATGGGGGGAAAAATCACATACTAAACTCTTGAAAGTACTTGTAGAAAGAGGTTTGCCAAAAAGTGATTGACGCTAATATTCATATTTAGATTTGTATATTCCAGGCAGTGAATAAGCAGATGACATCTTCAACCTCCCTGATCTGTTCACAGCCAACAGAAGACTGACCAGGTTATGGGGGTCCAGTTTCAGTTGCTTTCAGTGACTGAATTTTTACTGTTCCTTTTGTTTTGTTTTGTTTTGTTATGCTGGTGGTTGAACCTAGGGCCTCACACATACTAGGCAAGTGCTCTACCATTGAGCTCTATCCCCAGCCCCATGTTTTTTTGTTTTTTTGTTTTTTTTTTCTTCTGTCTATCCCTCTTTCTTTAAAGCAGGTTTGCTGATTTCTACAGAGCCACAGAATTCAGTCTTCCAATTACAGGGCTACGAGTTGTGCTTCAATGTGCACCGACCTACTTCCTCCCAATTGAATGTACACAGAAGACAGTAATGTTTCTTAAGCAAGCTTAGAACTAAATGAGTGAACCTGAGCATACACAGCATACACAGACACACAGGAAGAAGTGTGTACCCACAGGATTAATGTCCACAAATGTCTCATGGTCCTCCTTGTTTGGATGCATGCCTTTCACGGCAGAAATGAACTTCTGATCAGCTAGGTAAAAGTGTGGGAAAGACATGATAATGGGTGCACCTGCAGGAAAGGGACACAGAAATGAACGGTGTTGCTTTAAAAATCCAAGGCGAACATACAGTTTCTGACCACAAACTTGGTTCCTAAAGAAAAATACACACATAAGCAAACAGTTAGCTTGACCTGGCTGACAACCTCTGTCTCTCCAGTTCAATATTTACACTTCATTTTCTGCCATCTGATGTAGCCCACACTATTTTATTGCACATCTTATACCAAAGACTTGGCTATATTATTTATATTTCAACAAACAGTTATTGAGCCTATAAGTATACTTAAAATTTTTATTTATTTATTTTTATATGTATGAGTGTTTTGCCTGCCTGTGTGTAAATGTACCTGTGTCATGCAGTGCCCACGGAAGCCAGAACAGGACGTCAGCTCTCCTGGAACTGGCGTTATGAATGGTTGTTAGCTGCCATGTAGGTGTTGAGATGCAAACCTGGGTCTTCTGTAAGAGCGGTCAGTGCTCTTAACCCCTGAGCCATCTCTCCAGTCCCAAATATAAGTATACTTCTAATGTATACGTGCTAAATAATGTTCAGGCCACACTATAAAACCAGAACTATTATCTTCATTTTGCATTTGAAGAAGCTGAGGTTCACATAAATTATCAAGTTTCTTGAGACACGTAGTTAGCAGATTATAGAGGAAGAATCCTAATAGAGTGAGGATGTCTCATTGCAGAGCTCTACTTGAATAATAATTCTCTCCCCTTGATTGGAATTTTTGCTGTTGTTTGGGGTTTTGTTTTTGTTTTTTTGTTTTTTGGGGGTGGGGAGACAGAGTATCCCTGTAGCCCCACCTGGCCTGGAACTCACTATAGAGACCAGTCTGGCCTTCATCTCAGAGATCCACCTGCCTCTGCCTCCCAATTAAAGGTGTGTACCACCATGCCAGGGTGTTGTTTTGTTTTGGATTTTGTTTTTTGTTTGAAGCAGGCTCCTATTCTGCTATTCTGTAGCTCAGGCTGGCCTGGAACTCACTATGTATAGCTTGGATCTTACAGCAAGCATCCTGCTTCTGCCTCCCAAGTGTGATAGGCATACATACAGGCATACCTGGATTTTTTTTTCCTTCCTTTAAAAAAAAAATCCTGTTTTACAATAATGGACCTTGTTCTCCTAGATATCCTGATGCAAAAAAATTTAAGAGTTTCCCTTGTTGGGATGGTAGCACCTGCCTGTAATCTTAGTACTTGGGAAGTGGAGGCAGGAGGATCAGAAGTTCAAGGCCAGCTTGGGCTACATGAGACCCTATCACACAAAGACCAAAACAAAACAGAACACTAAAAAATTTAAAGGTTGTTAGAGAAACAAGGAAGACTCCTTATATTCTTTTAACCTCTGTGCTTTCTTAATTTGAAGATGGGTTGAAGAGTTCATTCCCAATTCCTGGTAAAAGTGAGTTAAACCTGAGTTGGAGCACTGGTTATTATTCAGAAACAAATGTGATACCATTTAGAGGTCCATATACTCCCTAAGTTAGTCTGTTAAGAAAAATTGTTCACCGAAGGCAAATTGCTTTGATGAAACAGTTCTGGTCTGACTAGTCATTTTGCTTCTTTAGGTCATGAGTGGATGCAGAGTGGATCCTGGATGAGCCAATATTGCACTGTGAATATATACCTATGTTTACACCCCAAAGAACAGAGGCATGCAATACAGAAATGCTGCTTTGAGAAAATATTTGCTAAAGTTCCACATCTGTATTTGAAGAAAATAAAGCAGAGTTCTTATTGCAAATAAAATAAAGCGAAACAAAATAGTTTACATAACCACCAACCCACAGCTCAAGGCACACATTATCTGTTACCCACACAGTATTCTGGTTTCTAGCTAAAAAAGTTCCAGGAAACCACAGTTTCCCTCTTTGTGACATACAGTGACCTTTACAATGGATTTTTGAATACCCATTAAAAGGGCCAGGCACATGCTGAAGGTGGTGGTGCATGCCTATAATCCCAGCTGAGATGAAAGAATCATGAGTTCAAAGCTAGCCTGGGCCACATTTTGGTACCTGTCTCAACTTCCCTCACCCTAGAAAGGAAGTGTCAGACACTGTCCTTAGTGTTTCTTACAATACCTTTGATCTCCACATAACTTTCCAAGAAGTAATAATTCCTTCCATTTATGGACATGAAAGCCCATGTCTGGAGCCCTTTTTAACCAATGTCACAGGTTTGCTAACATCTGCAATAGGACCCTCACCCAGATCTGCCTGGTTCATTTGCTTATCCCACTATCTAAAATGCTCCCCTAGAGAATTCAGAACAACTGAAGATAAGCCTGGAGACTTTAACTTCCAGTCCACATTTGGAAATGCTGCAGAGGAAAGAGGAAAACATTTTGTCATAAGGGGTCTGAATGCTGCAAAATAGAATCTTCCTTTGACTCTGCCATCAACGTTTTCAGGAAGCAGAATATTGCTAACACAGTAATAAAAACATTCACATTTATGCCTTGATATGGCTGAGGCATCATGGATACTACTTCAGAACCCTTCACCCAGAAAGGCAACAGCCAAGTTAGTGCATTACTTCATTCTTGAAAAAGGAGGGAAATATACCAGGAGGGAAATTTCTCCAGAGAGACAATTTTAAAGAGGGCCAGGAGGTATACACCTGCATTCCAGCATCAGGGGAGGCTGAGGCAGGAGGATCACTGAGAGTTTAAGTATAGTCTGAGCTATGTGATGAGTTTGAAACCAGTCTTCTGGACTACATAGAGAAATTTTGTCTCAAAATAAAAAATAAAGAAAATAAACTTTAAAGAAGACTTCCACTCTAAATAGGGATCTAACACAAATATCAGATGTGCTAGCAGGGAATTACTCAGAGAGAAAAATTTTCTCAAAAAAAAAATCCTTTCTCGTTGCTGTTTTCCACAATTATCAAAAGAGGATGCACGAAGGTATGAGCCTGTCATCCCAACACTTACGAGGCTGAGGCAAGAGGATGGAGAGTGTGAAGCCAGCTTGGACTACACAGCAAGACCCTGTCTCGAAACAAAACCAAGACCAAAAGCTAAAATTGAAAAAGAGTAAATGAGTAATTTACTAAATGAGTAATTCTGCTGCAGCATATAAAAACATTAGGTTTTAAGAAGAAGGTGCCTTTTATCAGCGGTACCATTGATAATTCTGTCTCATTCATGGAAAGGAACAGAGAGCTGAGATGTCAAGAAACACTGAGAGGGCCAGCATGATGCTCAGATGTACAAGCCTGGTCACCTGAGCTTCATCGCTAGAACCCAGATAAAGGCGGAAGGAGAGAACAGATTCTACAGAGTTGTCCTCTGACCTCCACCATGTGCAGTGGTACACATGCCCTCCCATACACACACACACACACACACACACACACACACACACACACACACACACAATAATAATAATAAATTTAAAAAGGCAAAGAAACACTGGGAAGCTCATGCTAAGAATTTAACACTAAATCTGTTTCAAAATCCCTGGGAATCTTTGCCAAGATACAGGATTACAGGCATGTGCTACCAAAACTAGTAATTTTTTAATAGATTAACAGCAATGTTACAAAACATTATTGTTGTTACTGTTATTATTTGAGATGGATATGGCTATGTATCCCAGGATGGCTTTGAGCTCACTAGCCTTCTGCCTCTGCTACCTGAATGCTGGATTATAGGCATATGCCAAAACATAGTTTTTGAAAGGTTGAAATTTCTCTCTCTATTAAGCTGATGACATGTTCTTTGTTGCCCCTAATCTGTCTGTATTCTAGACACCCACAATCACAGCCTCTCCTGAATTTCTTACCATTCTTGCAGATGCTCACATTCAGCACACCTGAGCCCAGGCAATTTCCTTCAGGTAGACAGAAGCCAGCATTTTCAGAAGTATTGGCTAATATTTCTGCAGGCACCTTATACCGAAAAGCAGGCAGTCCCTCTACTCTCTCAAAGTCACTGAAAGTTATATATACTGACCTGATAGGACAGAAGAACAGAAAGTCAATGTGGGAATGTAGCTCATTTGGTTGAGTGCTTAGCACCCATGAAAAGTTCGAATCTCAATAGCACATAAACAGGGTATGGTGGCTCATACCTGTAATCTTAGCACTTGGGAGGTAGAGGCAGGAGGATTCGAAATTCAAGATCATCATCAGTTACACAGGAAGTTTGAGGCCAGACTGAGCTACATCAGCCCTGTCTAAAAACGAAAAAGGAAAATGAGGTAGACTGATTAAATAACTTTGCCAAGGGTCACACGACTGTTGGTGGTGGAGTTAAGATGCAAACAAACACAGCTAGGTTCTGAAGTTGTCTGTGAACCATTACACTCTACTATCTCTCAGAGTGCCTCCAGCATTTGTCACCAGTATGCATAAATTTCCACACTAAGTGTGTCTGCATATATTTATCACACTTTGTCTTGCAGTCAAAACCCTTCTTTCGAAAAGACCTTATTTTTAAAGTTATTACCTGCAGAAGTCAGATGGGAAGACA